GATTTCTTGGAGAAGCCCAGGCCATGTAGGGCTCACCCTTACCTGTCTGCAGAGGGCAGAGACACTGTGTGGCTCTGGGACCTTCTGGCCACCCTCCAGATCCAGCCCCACAGCTGGACCCTGAGGTGAGGGCCATCACCCAAAACCCAGGGTCCTGCTGACTACCCAACAATGGGGTACTCAAAGCTAGGGGCTCACATGCCTGAACCACACACGATGGCTTCGCCGTGCTGGTTCTCAGCAAACGTCTCCTCTGACTTGATCTCCCCCTGCGTAACACAGAATGGCAAAGTACCCACCCCGGGGAGAGCTGGGAAGAGCAAATAAAGCCCAAGTTCTGCCCAGGTGGGGAGCTAACCCTCAGTGTCCCAGGGCTGCCAAACCATCCCCCTGCCCTGGCTTCTCCCCTAGCCAAGGGCTGGCCGTGCTGCCCCACTGTAGCATGAGTCCCTCTGGTGCTGCCCACAGCCCTCGAGCTGGACTGCCAGGGCTCCCTGTGCCTGCTCCCCAGAAGCTGCACACCCAAGACATCTCTGTAACATGGTTCGCCCTTGTCTTGGGGAGCCTCTTTCTGTGGGTAAGTGTTTTGCCAGAGCAAGAAAGCAGCCCCAGGAGGAAGATGGTGCCACACGCACCATCCATGGTAGTTGTGCATCACTGTGATGGCTCCAGCCACATTGTGTCAGCAATATTTACCATTTTCTAAATGCTTCTGATGAAAAAATGCAGAGGCCGGTGCTTATGGAAGGGGAGACCTGTGGGAGGAGCACCTCAACACCACAGATATGCTGTAGGGCCAAGCATGCAGTGGCTCACAAGTTTCAGTGCTGTGGTGTCATGCAAGGGAATTGCCCACCAGATAATGAGAAAAACCCGCAGGAAAGGATGAGGAGATTCAGCCAGTCATGGGGCAGGTCCCTTGACAGCCCCAATGGTGCTGAGGCTCTTGGGGATCCAAATGCAGACCCTGAACACAGGTGCTGGTGGGGGCTCACCCCTTTCCCACCACATCCCAATGAAGTATTAGCCAAGGGTTTCGCTAGTGGTTGTCATAGAATCACAGAATGGTTTGGGTTGGAAAGGACCTTAAAGATCATCTAGTTCCACCCCCCCTGCCATGGGCAGGGACACCTTCCACTAGACCACGTTGCTCAAACCCGGCCTTGAACACTGCTAGGGAGGGGGCAGCCATGACCTCTCAGGGCAACCTGTGCCAGTGTCTCACCACCCTCACAGTCAAGAATTACTCTCTTATAGCTAGTCTAAGTCTACCCTCTTTCATTTTAAAACTGTTACCCTTCATCCTATCCCTATACTCCCCTGACAAGGAGTCCCTCCCCACCTTTCCTGTAGCCCCTTTTCAGTACTGGGAGGCCGCTATAAGGTCTCCCCAGAGCCTTCTCCTCTCCATGTTGAAAACCCCAACTCTCTCAGCCTGTCCTCATAAGGGAGGTGCTCCAGTCCCCTCATCATCTTCATGGCCTCCTCTGGACCTGCTCAAGCAGGTCCGTCTCCTTCTTATGTTGGGGGCCCCAGAGCTGGACACAGCGCTGCAAGTGGGGTCTCATTAAAGTGGAGTAGAGGGGGAGAATCGCCTCCCTCGACCCGCTGGCCACACTGCTCTTGATGCAGCCCAGGACACAGTTGGCTTTCTGGGCTGTGAGCACACATTGCTGACTCATAGTCACTTTTCCACCCACCAATACCCCCAAGTCCTTCTCTGCAGAGCTGATCTCAGAATCGTCTAGGTTGGAAAAGACCTTGAAGATCATCCAGTCCAACCATTAACCTAACACTGACAGTTCCCAACTACACCAGATCCCTCAGCGCTATGTCGACCCGACTCTTAAACCCTTCCAGGGATGGGGACTCCACCACCTCCCTGGGCAGCCCATTCCAACACCTAACAACCTGTTCTGTAAAGAAATGCTTCCTAATATCCAGCCTAAACCTGCCCTGGCACAACTTGAGGCCATTCCCTCTTGTCCTCTGGCCTGTTACTTGGTTAAAGAGACTCATCCCCAGCTCTCTGCACCCTCCTTTCAGGGAGCTGTAGAGGGCGATGAGGTCTCCCCTCAGCCTCCTCTTCTCCAGACTAAACACCCCAGTTCCCTCAGCCGCTCCCTGTACAACCTGTGCTCCAGACCCTGCACCAGATCTGCTGCCCTTCTCTGGACACGCTCGAGTCATTCAATGTCCTTTTTGTAGTGAGGGGCCCAAAACTGAACACAGTCATTGAGGGGCGGCCTCACCAGTGCCGAGTACAGGGGTGAGATCCCTTCCCTGTCCCTGCTGGCCATGCTATTGCTGACACAAGCCAGGATGCCATTGGCCTTCTTGGCCACCTGGGCACACTGCTGGCTCCTGTTCAGCCGGCTGTCAATTAACCCCCCCCCAAGTCCCTCTCTGACTGGCAGCTCTCCAGCCACTCCTCCCCAAGCCTGTAGCGCTGCTGAGGGTTGTTGTGGCCCAAGGGCAGCCCCCGGCATTTGGCCTGATTGAAACTCCTCCAGTTGGCCTTAGACATCTCAATGCACTCACGGCCCAGCCTGTATTTGTGCTGGGATTACCCTGACCCATGTGCAGGACCTTGCACTTGGCCATGTTGAACTTCATGAAGTTCACACGGGCCCACCTCTCCAGCCTGTCAAGGTCCCTCTGGATGGCATCCTGTCCCTCTAGCGTGTCGAATGCACCAGATGGTTCAGTGTTGTTAGCGGCAAACTTTGCTGAGGGTTTTCATCATTTTCCAACCCTGCTCTTTGTCTTGATAGTGTTGGCCATGTTGAGCTACCACCAGAAGTCATCCCTGCACATGTATGGCAGCCAGGAAGCATCCCTCCCTGTTGCCCCTGGAACATGTGAAATAGGGGGTGCTGGTGAGCCCCAGGGGGCCGCAGTGGGCCAGACCCTCACCTATGATAGGGAAGGAAATCAATCCTGTGGGCAGATTTTGAAAGGCCAGGAGCACAACCCCTGCCTGCTCAGGGAGAAGGGTGGTGTGTCCTCAACAGAGGCCATTTCCGTAAGGCAACTTAACCTGCACAGAATGTTTTCTGTGTGAGTCCCAAGTGACATGTTTTAGTTGGCTTGATGGAGGTATATGCTTGATGGGAGTGGGAACAGGAGATGTCCCAGCCCCACCAGCCCCATCTCCCAACACTGCCCAGGACCAAGCTCCTGGCACCACCACAGTGACCACAGTCCTTGGATTTGGGGTGCAAGGGGAAACATCCCTGTTACTGGACACATATTTCACAATTTTGTCTAAATCCAGGTTGGATTCAGGGTCCCGTGGCATCAAACTCCTCAAGGGCTTTCTCTGCATCACAAAACCACCTTTAGTGGGGTCAGTGAAGGTGCCTACATTTCCACCAGCACCTTTTTCTTGTCATGCTCCACTTCTCTTTGCAGCCTTCTGCCAACGTGGTGCACAGAGAGGAATGGGCCAATAAAGGATCCACCAAGAAAAAAGCTGGTTTGGGGCTGGGATTTGTACCTGGCTGCCACCTTCTGTCACTACCTGGTACCTGTTGACTTATGGAGATGAGACTCGGGTCTCTTCACCTTTTCTTTGTGAACAAGTTGTATTTCACTCCTCAAAAAGCTTCAATATATTATTTCAAGAAAGAATATTTATGTCATTAAAACTCACTTTTACAGCCATATATTGTAAATCCCTCTGTGATTTGTTAAGAAACTTCCCCTACATTTTTTACATGTATTTGCTAGACCTTTCCTAAGTATCCTCTTCCTCCAGAGAGTCACTAAGCATCTTCCCTTGGAAATCATGATTACAAAAACACTGATACGAGGATCTCAGTTCAAACAAGACTTGAGTATGTAATGAGGAAAAACAAACACACAAACTCTCCAATAAATGCATAAAGTTACTTTATTTTCAGTATACATTTAATTTTGAAAAATATAAATGCTAAAATATCTCATCATATTCATCTTTTGATTCCATAAAAGTCACAATAGAAAGCTTCATAAAACTGTAAAATACTATAATGTTATAAGGAATTTCATGTTTTATATTACTAGAAAAAAAATCATTTTAACATATTGAAATGTTTTCTGCTTTTTTCCTTTTTGTTCCACCATCTTGATCCACTTCATTTTATACTAATTTTTTATTCTTTCCTCCAAAACACATAGACTTACAAGAATTAAAAACAATAATAAAAGTATCTGAAAGTGCGTGTTGATTCAAAAAAAACCAAAAAAATACAAAGATGTAACGGCCACGATGACAAATAAGCGTGGGCTACAGAGGCAGATGGCCACCACGTTCCCAGGGCTGGGACAAAGCTGGCTGTGGCTGGGTGGCTGACACTGGGTCCCACCATGAGCTGGGAACTGGCATGGTTTTGCTCTGGGAAGTTCATTTCTTGATGCCCGCCTCTGATTTCAAAGGGCTTTGGGTCTGTCTCCACACCTACTCCCAGAAGTGCTCACCCAGGCTTTTCCTATAAAATACCCAGTTCTGACAGATTCTCTTCCCTGCCTGCTGACTCCTGATGCCAGCAGAGCTCTTGGTTGCTCTCTTTGTGTTGGGTTTTATTTTTTAAAGGAAAAACCAACAAAAGAGACACAACCTCCAATGAAGTGCTAGTGTCAGGCACCAGGAAAGGAAACATGTCCATTCCCTGTCACCAGAGTTGTGTGTTTTTCACGGAAAGCTACAGAAACCTTTGTCCCATCCCTTCAGTAACGCCACCCTCTGTACAACAGCTCCCTGGGGTTAAAATAAAAAAATTAAAATTAAAAAAAAAAAAAAAAGAGAGAGAAAGATCTAGATCAGCAGTCAATACATTTCAAGTACATTTAACACGGTTCAAAAGTGGAAGACCTCATTTTTGTGGAGACATATCCCCTCCCCAGGTGCCAGTAGACAGGAGCCTGTGTGTGCGTGGGTGCAGTGCCCTGCCCACAAAGCCTACCCGGAGCAGGGAAGCCACTTCCCTCCATTCATCTGGTTCCATCTTTTCTCCATCCGTTATTGGGATCCTGACAAATGAAAGGTCCAGGCAAAGCACAAGCAGCTCCCGTGTACTCTGGAGGTGACACTCGAGTCCGTTTCCCCTTTGGGAGCTATGGACTTGTGTTGACCAAGGGATGGGAACCGTTGGTTGAAGCTGGCATTGCACTTCCCAGCTTATCCGTCCTCCAGCTAGCGGGGCCCGGCAGCGGAAGGGATCACAGAGTCGCTCCTTTTCTGGCCGTTTCTGATGTTTTCCCAGCCTTTCAGAAGCGGATTTGGGCTGGGTTCCCGGACTGTTGATCTGAGAATCAACACACATTTCATGGAAGCTGAAACCGAGATCCTCAAGATCGAGTGGGGGAATGTACGGAGGTGTGTGCACGTGTGTGTGTGGTGCAGGTGCCTCTGCAGCTCCACTGTCCTTCTGCAGGAGATCAAGCTCAAACTATCAGGGTCTCTATCAACTCATTCTTTAACCAAAGCACTGTAGGGAAAGTAAGGTGGCCAGCTGTTTCTACAGTCTATCTGGGAAGGAAAAGAATAGCCCTATTCTGCACCTCCCATTGCCGATATGGCTACTACAAGTGAGTAGATACTAAAATTTGGCATATAAGGTCTCAGCACCATCATGAAATTCTGTTTACTTACCAACATGGACTTTGGTTTCGCAAGGACAAAAGCAGCAGCAACGTGCCTGTCCTCTGCAGCAGAATTTTTCTCCATTGGGGAATTAAGCCCTTATAGCTAGGCTTTTTTTTTTTTCTTTTTTTTCTTTTTTTTTTTTTTCTCTCGATGAAGCTTTTAGTGTGTTATGTGTAGTCCTCACATTTCATCAAAGAAACGTCTTGGTGAAGCCCAATTTCCCAAATGCATGCTTACATGCACACACAAGTACATATGCATACATATTACAGAGAGAAAATCATCTCTCCCAAGGTGATATTGGCTTGCTTGGTTTAAAACCAAAAGCCTGGGCATGCCCAGGATTAGCCTGCTTTGTACTGATGCATCACCAGGTACAGACAGGTGAGTCTAGGATAGAGCAGTCAAGATTTGGGGTAAATCCCATGGATTATGGTAAACAGATGTGGGCTGCTAGAGGATGACGATGTTTGCAAGCCTGGTGAACATAAGCATTGGGATGAACATCCCAGTAGGCCATCTTCAGCCGTCTTTCCACTCCATTGCATCGTCACTGTGCCTGAAGCACACCTGGTGTCTTCTCACGTATACACATACACACACGTGCACACACCGATGTCTCGAAAGAAATAATTCAAACAATACCATGTCAGAAATCAACAACGTGAATACAATCAGCATCTGTCCACTGATGTCGGTAGCCAGTCAGTATTTTGCTTCCCGACATTACATTTAAGACTCTTCCTAGATCACAAGAAATTTAAGTTACATCCCATCTCCTTCATAGTAAAGTTAATTACTTATTAAAAAATAAAATAAAATAACATAACACTAATTAAAACAGATGCTTCAGAGTAGAAGGTGTTAATCAAACTGATCCAGCCCTATGCCATGTCCTGGAGATTGTGGTATGGTGTTGTGGTTTTGTGTTTTGTTTTGTGTGGGTTTTTTTGTTGGTTTTTTTTTTTGTAAAAATCACATTATATATGGTACAATACATTTTTTACAGAAAGCCTGGCATCTAGAAATAAGAGGTAGAACTACTCATAACTATATGTTTCCTGCTGCAGGAAAAATTCATTTTTCTTTACAGTAATTAAAAAAAGGTTAAAAAAATTGACAAAAAAAGTCATAGGTTAGGCCCCCATAATTTAAACAAAATAATCTAGGAAAATAACACTCTTCAATGTACCTGACGGATTAAGTCCATTAAAGTGTTTCTTTAAAAAAAAATTGCATAGGAAAGGGACATTTCAAAACACATGCTACAACGATGGCAATGGTTTGTCTGTGCTGGGAGTGAAGTACCTTTTCCTTTTCCTTCCTGTGTTAACTGCAAGTACAGGCTTTAAGAGCAGGTTAGTATTAGCAGCACTTTCCAGCATCTTTGAGCAGTGTAAGCAAGACATCGAATTAGCCTGGAGGTCAGTTTTGTTCTGCCGGACAACAAACAGACAAACAAAGAAACACTGATTCACAACTAAGTAATGCCAGTTCCTCTGGCATCTCCCACAGGTACAATATGATATCCTTAAAACTTCCGCCCTCTGCTTGTAAATGAGAGAGGTGCGTGCATGTCGAAGCAACAGAGAAGGCAAAACAAGTCTTGGTCAGTGCGGGAAAACTGGGTGAGGAGGGATCAAGAGGAGATCTGCATGGGCAAGGGTGGAGGGGCACCATGGGGCATCTCATTTACCTATGCAGGTGGGGAGCAGAGAGCATTTTAATATTTGGCTAGTGACAAAATAAATTCCATAAAAGATTTAACAGACAGACAAATTACAAAGTAGTTTCTGTTCCCTTGCTCCTCCAGAAATAACCACCGTCTTCAGGCTCAAGTTCTATTCTAATTTGAGGCACAACTTTTACTGGAGTTCGTGGAGGGCTGCAAAGAAAACGACAGACAAAGGTAAGTGTGGGGACAACCTCCAAGCTTCTCATCCATTCTTAACATAGTCTGCCGTGCTCAGGACTTCTGCTAGCACAGCTTCCCAGCGACCAAATCCCCAAAAGAAAAAATAATCTGCAACTTGCAAAAGAAAATCAGTATCTTACAAACAAAACAAGAGGGGCAACTTGTGTAAACTGGGACTTAGTGGGACACCCAACAGGCAGCGTCACATCCAGAAATGGACCAAATGCTTGACTCCCAGTATCGGTTCTTTGCATTGGCTCATACAGTACAGCTTTCTGAAATGGCAATATACAGATACCAAGTGAATAACCTTGGCAGGCATGGTAATATACAGCGGGTCTCAAGGTAAGACTCATACACACTTAAGATAATTTTAATGAGTTGATCTCAGACTGCTCATGTCAGGAGGTAAAACCACCAACTTCACTGACTGAGGAGCTCCAAGTATCCAGCACTTGTGCTTCCCACCAAGCTGTGGCAACACTCATACACTGCCTTTGGAATAATCTGGTTGCAGCCATTGAGATTAACTTCACACACCCTCTAACACTGGGAAGTGTAAATACCTCTTTGACATTTCAGAGGACTATTGCTGCCTTGGTCTAGATCCGACTCCTGGCACTGGGAAGTCCAAGGTGGCCCCAAGGGACTGAGCTTTGAGAAACTGTTACTTAACTCTTCCTTGCTGTAATTTAAGGTTATTATTTACTCTATTTTCCACCACAGACATGGGAATATTGATTACTTCCTCTTTGCAACATCCTCTTACATGGCTGAAGGAAAGCTTAACACCAATCTTCTCTCTCCTTTTTTTTTTTTTTTTTTTAAGGCTAAACAATCCCAATTAATTTAATTTTTCCCCTGTAGAAGTGCTTCCTAGACTCTTCCCAGTTACTCTTCATCTTTCTTCTGGTTTAGACCCAAAACCAGCCATCAGTACTGCAGCTGGGGTCCTAACCAAAGCCAGTGGAGCCCACAGGCTCTCCACTCCCCATCCCAAGCACTGCAAGGCCGCACTGGTAGTCAACTTGGGATGCTGCAACCCTACTTAGGGAATTTTCTTAAACAGCTTTTGAAGATTTTCCTATAGGGGGACAGAAACTTTGCCTTGTTGCCTTTTGGTATATTGTAGGGTAACTAAGATGCTTTTGAGGAATCATTATAAAATGCATTTTTTGGGTGCTTACCTTGGCATGGTGTATGACTGAAGGAAAGGAATTGTATCAGCACGACGTATGGCGTTCAAGGAATGTTGGTGATTTCTCTCCTGTTGGGAAGGGAAGAAAGTCCTGTTTGTCACTGCCTGTGGCACTGATGGCTTCTCAAGCCCAGCTTCAGTTTCCCCAGTATACTCTCATCTATTTGGCAGTACTTTTTTATTGCTGCCTGCCAGATGAATTTCACAGCTTGCAAATACTCAATTTCTCACTCTCTCCTCCAAGATAAAAACCCTTGAACTGCTAACATGAGCAAAAGACTCATTTCCCAAGACTTTCACCACCTTTAGGTCTTGACACTTACCTTTTATCTACCCCTCTTTAGTTACCCTGTGCTCCTCACTGGTGCACCCAAACACCTTGCAAGAAAATAGGTGGCTTGTTGCCTGTAATGGCTTTCTTTTTGTGGGGAAGTGTACTCTCTGTTAATAATAATCTTGTTCTTGCTATTGCTAAAAGGAAAGGTAATGTTAGTAGCATTATTAGGAATATACTTTGAATGGCAGAACACAGTTATATTCAAGGAGAATACCACAGTGTTGCTGGATTCTAGCTACTTTTTCTAGTCCACAGACTTGGTTTTTTAGATTTTTTGTCTTCACATTGATTCTAATTAAATAACAGCAAATCAATTACTGGATGATAAAAATGTACAAATACGCAAACCAACTGCTGCTCAGCTCAGGGGTGATCTACCCTGTGTTGTCTCAAAGGGCATTCCAGCAAACAGGTTTGCAGCAGAAATAATTTTTCCTTAACTCTAGCAGCCTTAAAGTTGTTGAAAAGAGTACATCTGATCATAGAATCCTGTGTAACAACATTTAGGATGTAATTTGTTTTCAGCACATCAGGGTGCTTTCACAGAAAAATGAGGATTTGTTTGGTTGTCTGAGGCTAATTTTGCTCCTTTCCTTTTCCTTACAAGCAAAACACTGAAAATAACTAGTCAGGGAAACGTCTCTTTGTCTTTGGCTTTGTTTTATAATGCCAATCTCCAAGTGTTCCTTTATCTAAAAACCACAGAGCAATGCTTAGGATTGCCTAAGGTATCTAAACGCCACTGAAAGGCAAGGGACTTAGGTACCAGCTCTTAAACTCAAATGATAGTTTAATGATCTAAAGAGCTGCAATTTAAGGTCCTACTTCTAGAAAACACAAGTCTTGCAGCAGTAGTAATTTATTACTGTCATTCATATTTCTCCCCTCCTGTCTCATGACAAAACAGCTTATTTATCTCCAGGTGGCACCCACTGCTCATAGCATTTTAAACAGTCAGTGCAAAGGCAGAAAAGCTCAGGTCAGTTGTTATTCTTGATTCCTCACTTAAAAGACTAGAATATGAAAACTGGAAATTACTGAAAATTAAGATCATAACAACCAATTACAGATACTAACATAAGGAATTAAAAAGAAGCAGAACAGCACAAACGCAAGTCACCTAAGAAGACAAATATGTTAATAGTCAACTGATTACTGCCTTGTCAGTTTAATGGACAACGTGGATCAATACACACTTAATTATTCTTTTAAACACTGATTTTTGCCACTGCTTGGGACCTAAGGAAACAAACAGTTACAGGACATCGATGCAGTTTAGATATGATGCAAATCCAGAAAACTAGCCTCAGAGGAAAAAAATAAATCAAACCATCAGCACAGTCAACACAAAACGGCAAAGGTCAGAAAAGAGAGGAGGAAAGAGTGAGTGGCCAAGAGACCTGTTAACAGCGGGATAAAAGCACTTAAGCTGGAGGCACCAGAAGGAACAACATCAATTTTATAATGAGCAAAGAAAAAAGCTCACAACAGCAAAATCTGTCAATAATCAGAGGCCTGGTAATTAAAAAAAGAGAGAAAAAAACCCCAAAATAACAACAAAAAGTACTTGTCGAGTAAAAGGAAAGTTCTTGTTCATTTTTTTTAAATCACTCTGAAGATACATATATTTTTGTACTGCAAGTCAGAGTCAAGCAGACATGCAAGAGGTTAATTCTACTCACTGTCAGCAGGTTTGCTATCACTTAGGAAAGGTTCCTGCTCCATGATGTCCATTGGTATTTTAATACTTGGGACTTTTTCTGAGTAGGGGCAGTCAGACTGTGAAAGAAACGTGTAAAAGGTCTTAGAATATTTTCATTGCTCTCTCTCTTATCGTCTCCCACAAATTAAAATTATCCTTCATATAGTTTCTGTAGGAACGAGTAAAAGAAAAGAATAAAAAAATAAAAAAACATCATCCATCTTAGTTGCCTGCTGGTTTCCACCGGTTCCCCACTGCAGCCAACCTTCCCTCTTCCTTCACACTATGGAAGTAAAACAGATGGAAAGAATAATCTTATGTAGTTGGTATCTTCCCCTTCCACCACCTCATCAGTTTCTTTGCCACTAGCTTATAAGAAAACATCCAATTCAGCTTGGAGTTGGCTGCAGGACATACTGGTGGAAAATGCATTCGTAGGCAGAAATTGCAGGGCACTGGGTTCCATGAAAGCTTACATTTTGTCCTGTTGTGATTTCTGTAAAACCACTCTTTTTTTCTGTCCAATTGCTCTATGAGAACAAGGGTCAGACATTGATATAGCACAGGTTCCTTAATCTGGACGGACTCAACTCCCCCTTTTATTTAAGTCAGGTCAAACCCAGTCTCAATTACAACTCTATTTATAGTAAAAGAATTCATTAAATCCAGTGCCCTTGTAAGAATTCAATACTTCCAGACAGACGGGAGAAACAGCGAACTGGTCAAGTAGAGGCACAAGTGCAGAGAAAAGCTGTACACGGGGTCCCCTGGAGTTTGGGTACCAGCATGATTTATACCCCACTGGCTTCAATAATCCACCTGCTTACACTTAGTAAAAGGTACTTGGAATGATTTTGCTTTTTTAAAATAAAAGTAACTTCTCATAATCAAGGAAAGGTTGATATTGCATAATTTGGCAAAGGAAGTAAGGTGATACTCGCCAGAAACATTAACACATCTTTCTTCCTGGAGAGAACTAGACACCATACTGAGGATAACACTGGGGTGGAGGGAGTGAGACCTTCAACTCAGGGCAGGAAAACATTACAGAGGTCAGAGATCCACTCTCGCTGCATTATTATTACTATAATTTTTCAATTATTTTTTACCGTAAGTGACATCCAGTGCAGTATATCATACTCCAATAGCAAAATGTTTCCTCAGGAGTAATTTTACAAGGCTGAGGGATAAGCATAGCTCAAATAAAGATAATTCTGCAGGAAAGCACTGAGACAATGAAGTCATCCCAAAATCCCCATCCACTTGGGGTCATGCTGTAAGCAGAGAATAAGAGCTGGGTAACCTTTCCAACATATCACCATGTCAGTGCTAATAAATATATTTAAGAGTTCTGCAGAACAGCAATGCTGATGTTCAAGATCTGCATTAAACTTCACCATCTACAATGAACAGAGAGACAGAAAGTATCTGCAGTTGGCAAAAATGCCCCAAAGGGGAAAAGAGACCATTACACAGCACTTTGAAACTAAACAGATGAGCCCAATATTTTTATAGAAAAAAATTTCTGTCCTTTCTCAGATCACACATTTTTGGACATAAAATTGGAGAGAAAACTAAGGCGCTTGAGTTTCTGTTAGGCAAACACAGCAATTAGTTGCATCAATTCATACTTTGTAAAGACAAGCTGGAAAAAAAAATGCTGAGATTACCAAAAATGTTTCTTTGCAGCTCCTTTTTTGCTGGCCCTGATTGCTAGCAAGCCCCCAGTGAGGACTAGGTGAGTTCTAACTAGTGCTGAGAGCAGGCTCCACTAATGCCATGTTTTGCTGTACTCATTCATCTAACACAACCTGTGCTAGCAACGCCCAGCAATCCTCTTTGCTGAACTCTGATCAGTGTATTGGTCACCAAATCCCACAGGACTAACTCTGTGGGGACGTATTTCTGGAAGGGAAAGGGTGAAAAATAATCAAACCAATAATGCTAAGTGCTTTTCATTCAGGAAGCTCGTTAAAGCAAGTGCTGGGAAAAAAAAAAAAAACAAAAAAAAAACAAAACCAAGAAGAAGAGTTAAGAACCAACATTTTGCATAAATTCTCTTAGCCATTGGATCAATTACTGTACCTGAAATTCATGAAAAGCCTGAGAAGAGAGGAGGTGGCTTAAAACACTGGAAATACAGGAGCGATGGCTGATGGATTCAAATCAGTCAAGAGGAGGGGATGGAGTCAAACCTCTGTTGACTATTTGCAGTAGGGCGTTTTCTCTCATTTCAGTTTGCACGAAGTTATCTGCTGAAGGAAACCCTTACCCTTGGCCTCCTAGGAACTGGAGGAATGACGGAAAAGCAGAGCTTGCTGTCTAACACAAGAGCCAGTCTCCCCAGCTGGGGTTCAGCTTCATTTAACAAGGTGTGGATCCAGGCTACCTCCTACAGTGCTGCACCCTCACTTAAGAAATTCCTAGTTCTGTCTCTTGCAGTGTTACATGCTCTACTTTAGACAGCATATATTCTATATAGAAAGGCCTTTGCATACTTTCTCATTACAATAGACTGACTTTGTTGCCTCTAACACAGATCTGCAAAGGTGTTGTATAGCTCTCACATAAAGGACTCTGGTTCTAGTTTGTCCTTCATCAGGACTGGGACTGCCTTTTCTGTCTTCTCAACCTTGATCAAAATCAGGAATTGGGATGGTCTGGGGGAAACTCCTGGAGCTGCCATTTTCCTCTTGAAGACACCAGATGCATTATCTAATGCACAAGGAGGGCTGATTTGGTAGATCTGCTCTATGCAGAAAGGATGCAGACAATACCTAGCAGAAACCCTCCAAACACACAGCGAGGCACAACCACTCCACAGCACCCACTGGTTTGGTGGCAGTGGAGGCACCTTTGGCCTTTGTTGCAAGAAGCTCTCCTGGCAGACACACTGACCCAGCAGCTCCTTCTCAGGGAGGTCACTGTTACCCATTTCATATCAACTAAGGAGGTCCAAGAGCAAGCAGACCAACTCTGGCAGACCGCACCAGGCTGCAGTTCCAAACTTGGGGGCTGCAGGGCAGTGACCTGGGCAGGAGTGCTCAAGAAAGGGCCACTTGACCTTTCCGGCTGCCAGCCTCCTCACAGAGTGCAATCCCAATCCCTTCTCATTTTTTTCTCCTGCTGCGTTAAAATCAGATTTTTTTCCCACTTCAGGTAATCTTACCTCTACCTGCACTATAGGAAAAGCCCTTCTTCATGAACCCTGGACAGTTACATGAGCAGAAAAGTGACACTGTGCTTAGTACTCTTCATGTAGCCTAAAATTATTAAAGCCTAGCTCCCTTTTCACATTTTAAAAGGTAATGCTGACCAAGGCAGCCAGCTCTCCAAAGGCAGTTCACACTTACTATACAAAGTGCTACATAACCAGTGTGTTTCGCAGTTCAATATAAATTTACAGTATTTGAGTTAATGCTCAAACTGAGAATGTTTAAAGGCACGAGGACTACATTTCTTATATGTACAGTAAAAAATAGAACAGTCTAAGGCACATGGATCTAGTCTAGTCAGGTCACCGCGCTTAGTAATGACATAAGCAGCTACATTTCATTGCTTTACATCATGCTGCAACTGAGATAGGACCAAAGAGCATACTGCAGAAGGGCATGTATGCTTCAAAAAGATTTAGGTCATAAGTATTATCAACAGAAAGCAGTCTTTCCTGTAATATGGCAAGTCACACTTTTTTGTGCTTTTAAAAAGGCTAAGTAAAAAAATATCAAAAAAGAAAACCAGAATATGTTCAGAAGTAACAGAGCTGCTGGCAAAAACCATTCTCCACCTAAAAAGTAAAAGACAATGATGGGAGAGAAAGGTGATGGAAGTAAAGATGAACAAGGCAAGGTCATGAAAGGCGTTCCTAGCAAACGGACATCTCAGCAGGCATCTAGTGCTCTTGTGGAAAGTGTGGTTTCATTCTTGGCAATGCAAGTATCACCTACCGTGGGCTGGTGGCATCTGGGAAAGGGAAGGCAATGTAGAAAATAAGTTTTGTTTGGGGACGATTTGCTGCAGCAGCAAAAGACTGAGCCGGTCAGCTTCAAAAGAGGCTGGGAAATCCCCAGAGCTGGGGAGGGGCATGGACCATCCTCCAGGATTAGGTAGCTAGAAATTAATAATTTGACAAGAGCAGAAAGCCCCTTACATCATCATTGTCACTGTCCATACTGCCCTTCTTCTTTTTCTTCTTCTTCTCATCCTCTTTCTTTTTCTTGTCCTTTTCTGGAATGACGTCATCAAGAAAGCTTAAGTCATGCTGGGAGAAGAGGTAGTCCATGGCTTTTCTGACTGCCACAAGTGCCAGGATCTGAAAAGGCAGAGAGGGACTTCTCAATCACAGCTGACTTTTAATTGGGAACACCGTGCATTCCTCTTGATGCTGCTTCTTAATCCCACGCAATTTAATTCTGGTTGTAAATGAACATAGAGAGAACAAGGTGAACAGCCTGGGGTATCTGTATCAACTTCTAAGTCTGAACCATGACTGCTTCGTGTCAGAATAAACAGGAACAACATACAGAAAAAAGTACATAATCACTTAATAGTTGTGTAGAGACAAAGGTCATCTTTAACATCCAACTGAAAGATATAATGCAAAATAATAAGCAGACAGAATATGAGTATTTTTATTTGGTTTTGGATTCAGTCTACATATGTAGGCTCACAGGGACAGCCTGAGTAACTGTCTTTACTTTCATTCCCACCACTTCCCCAGATGTGAGGAATTAGACAAAGGCCGAACTGTGCCCTCAGAGTTTGCAGAATAAAGTTTACTAGGGTTGTGGCTGCATGGAACTGGAGGAAAAGCTTTTTCCGCGCAAGACTGCAAATCAAAGGCACCAGGAATAAAAAAAAAAAAAAGGACATGTCTGAAATACTTGTTTACATCGATGCTGGGTTTAATATCACGAGCACATCAACAGACCAAAAGCTTGACTTGGCTACTAAAATGTATAACCCATTCCCGACAACTTAAGACTTTAAGATGAAGAGTTTGTTGTAAGCAACAATGATCAATTGCACAAACAATTCTGAGGAAAGGATCTCAAGCTCTGACTTGCGTAACTTAAGATTATGGTTACAGAAGTGAGAAATTACTCAGGGGGTGGCAAGATGCCATGTAGACACCCATGATTATCCCATTATGAATGAATTCTGTATTAAAAGTGCTTTACCTTCAAATAAACAGAGGTTTGGCTATTGGCCGATTCTTCACAAATTGGAAGTTTGTAGACTTTTTGTTCAGGAGTGCAAATAATTGAGGTTTTGTCATCAGATCCAGCTACGTCTAAGCTGTGACTGTACCTTCACTGAGTCTGCATCATTATAACAAGCTTCAGCAGACTTTAGGGTTCACTCAGATTCTCTCCATTATTAGAAAAGAGTGTCCAGATCTTAGATTTAGCTTTCAACAGCAGTACAATACAGCCATGAAAATGCCCAAGGCAAAGTGTCCATACAAACTGCCCTTAACACTTGTTTTTGGTTTTTTTTTTAATTTGGTGCCTAATAGTGTCTATAGCTCTAGTAATAATCTAAATGCACAGAAAGCTGTTTTGCTGTTACCCTTCCTTGATGTAGAAATACTGTACCAGGCTGACTGCACAGTGTATATTTAAGAAACAGTTTTTCTGTGTGATGAGTATTTTACCCCTGAACATCCAAAATAAGTTTTAACATGATTCTGACATACAGTATTAGAAAGAGGACATGCATCCTACAAACTTACATATCATCTTCCGATGTAAAACATGTGGATCAACATTACTGTTTTTTTACTCAAGTTCAAGGAAAAAGACACTTTTTTATTTTTCTCTTGATTTAGCTAATCCTTTCTCTTCCTTTGGCACACCTCTTAGCAGTGTGCCTAATTCTTGGTTTTGTTAATTTGTGCTATTTCAAAGCAAGGGAGACATTTTCTGTAAAGTAATAGTGTGGACTAAGAAAGGAAAACAATGCACCTCTCATCCGTTCATGCAGCTCGGGGAGAAAACACAGCAAATCTAACCTTGGCAGGTTAGATTTGACCAGGAACTGCCAAAGCTAACTACACCTTTCCGGAAAAAAATTAACTTTCCAGGCTCATTTTCCTCCAGAGGATTTACGTAAAGGCAGCCACAGCAACACTGACCCTGTGCAGTCTTACATCAGTGCCATGAATGGAGGCAGAGCCTGGAGCTAGGGATTTGACAGGAGGAGGTTGGATTAGCCTGTTTATGGGAGGGAATGACCGTGTGTGGAAGGCACAGGCTGCAAAAGGGAGGGATGTGAAGGAGACTGTCACCTACCATGACAGGGAATATGATAGCAGCCACAGTCGACTTGAGGATCCAGAGGAGGGCCAGGCACACCACCTGCAGGAAGGTGAACAGATGGACCCTGCGCAGTGGGACGTGACGCAAGTAAATAAAGTCTGGCTGGTGCTTTAGAGGCATCAAGAGAAGCTTCAGACGATCCATGAACTGAAAAGAAAAAGACACTTAAATGAAACGCAGGATACCATAAGGGAGATACAAAACCATTATTACACTATGAAGTGTGACCTTGCTTTCCTTCCATCAAAGAAACCCAGCAGAAAAGCCAGCACAACTCCTCTCTCCTGACTGACTTGTGCTTAATGCACAGTGGGCTAAACACGTTAACTCAGTTGTCTCAAGTGAAGGTCCTAGGTCTACACTATATCTGGCAATTAAACAGAGACATATGAGTGAAACATCTCTCAAAGCAAGCCCTAAGGTGCCTTTATTTTAAGGAGCAGGGCCCCATGTGCTCTGGTGATCAGTGTGTAAAGCAAGGAATGAAGGTGTCAGTGGAAAATGTTCCACTGGCTTCAAAAGAATGGGCCTGATCTGCTGTGGCTGTGGACACCGGGCATTTTCTCTTGAAGGGAGCACTTCATTACCCACAAAACAGAGAAAACAAGATGAATGCCCAAACTGTGGTCAGCATCAAACTCTGTGTCACATCTGCCACTCTCCCCTGCCCTGCTCCTGTCAAGGAAAGACAATCAGCATTTAAAAACAATGGGGTTTTTTTTCCAAAAGTGGGAGAAGAGGTGAACGGAGGTGAGGGCAGACATCATGTTACTAGAGAACAGAAAGGCACCTAACTGAGGAGTGAGGAACATGGGCAGCTTTTCCGGCAGAGTCCCTTGCCCTGTGCTGGACCGGATGGACTTGGAGTTAAACCAAAATCAGGATTTCTCATCAACTGAAAAACATCCTTGATGAGGGGAAAACAAGCTGCCCAGTCCCCTGACCACCTGGGCTGGGAAGCAGGGGAAATCCCCTCCAGGAGAACCAACCCAGGGTGAACATTACAATCCCCTCGTTGTCCCCTGCCCGAACATGGGCTTGATGCCCACTGCTGAGACCAGATTGGTCTCACACCAGTGAATGAAAGCTGGGGCCATTTTAAAGAATACCCAAGGAAATTCTCATGGTGCTCAGAGAACAGGCAGTCTTTTCCCGTTAGAGCACAGCCAAGAGCTAAAAAGAAAGGCCACAATTAATAGGGTGCCAGAAAGCAACAAAACCACTTCCAGCTTCCTAGGGCCAATGACAGACACTGTGCTGTGCAAAAGGCTCCTTACGTAATATTTCCTCAACAACAAAGAAAGAGGCTTGGCTTCCCCTCTCCGGCAAACAGCAATGTTCCCGCTCGTTAACACTGCAGGATAACCCTGCTGCCATAAATCAGCTTCCCTTCTGTCTGCAACAGATGCCCTGAACCATCCTGGGAGTGAGCCTGGGGCCTCTGCAAGCATACCCTGCCCTCAGCATCGCTGAGCTGGGGTGGAGGGAAAAATGGACCCCAGGTCATCACAAAGCACCCCTGATCACTTATGAGGCCCAGGTTTGGCTGCTCTCCCACCAAGCAGTTTGCTCCCCTTTGTTTCTCAATCTCAGTTCAGCCAGGCTCTGTCAATGTTTGTAGATGGTTGCTACCTTCCCTGGGTATCTTGGAAGGAAAAGGAGGAGGTAAAGGAGAAGGAACAGGCCAGAGGGTTGTGAAAGAAACACTGCACTGGCTAATGATTGCCATCTTCTGGAGGAGGAGATGGAGGGACTCACCTGCACACCGTTAAGGGAAGCAACACCCATGTAGAGGAAGACGCCGTAGAGCACAGGCATTGGAATGAACTGCAGGGGGAAGAGCAGGAGAAACTGAATCAACAACCTCCCCCCATACAACACACCATTAACACGTGAGGGTCATCATTCTTAGCCTGTTGTCAACTCAGGTTGCACCTACAGGTGGATAATGCAGAGTAATAAAGCCAGCAATCATTATCCTTACTGGTAAACATGTTCCAGTAAGATTCAAACTGCTTTTCACCTCTTGGTTTTTGGTGAGACTAGAAGGAGAAGATAGAGAAGAAAAGTCATCATGGTCCCGTGGTATCCATCTGTGGAGATCCAACTGGAAAGGTTCTTCTCTTGAGTCCCACCCTCAGCCATGACAATCATGCCAAACAAATCTCTGATTGCTCCATCTTTCACGCAGGTTAATCCGTAACTATTCAAAAATACAGGACCATGAGTTACTTTCTCCACTGCCAGAAACTGTCCTTTCAAACATCAATTTCTGCTCCCTCAAGTGCTAAGCGCTGCCCATTCCTCCATCAGTGGTCCTGCCATCTGGGACATCTTCCTTCAACAGGGAGGAAGGCACATGGTAACACCACACATGCTTCCCAGAACAAGTATCTGCCCCTCCAGCCTGAAGCACAAAGCTTTCCTCAATGGCAAAAGCCACCACATGGTTGCCAAGAGGGGGAAGCACTCCTCAGCCCCGCAACAAAACCATGCGCAGCCAGCATGGCCTGCCATAAATGGAAATACTTGGGCACAAACCAAAGGCAGGAGCTGTATAATAGCCTTTGTGTGATTTTATCTGAACCCAAGAAGGACGGAAAGAATTCTACCAAAGGAATACCTTCGTGCAGTGACAGGCAGCTGCCACTGAACGGCAGCCACAGCACAGTCATGGCTCTGATGAGCCCAGCACTGCTGCTGGAGGAACATTTGTCTTTCAACCTGTGCATGAAACTCATTAAAAAGGCAAATAACGTGGCAGTTATTCGTGTTTTGTTGTATTCCCTGCCACATTATTCGTTGTTTACTGGATCAGAAACATAGTGTCATGCACATATCCCTGGATGCCTCAGTCCTGAGTGCATGCATTTCACTTGGGGCACGTGAGCACCAAAGTCACCAGGTCATGTGCCATCTGAGACCAAAGCTTCCCAGCCCACATTTTTCCCTTTCCTCCCCTGAGTCTCATTCCCTATCACCTTCTGTGATCTTCTTGATTGCTAATTCATCCTTCTGTTGGATTTATTTGCTTCCTTGAGTGAGCTGCGTTGATATTTCACATTAAAAGCCAAATGTTTTTTCCGCAGTCCAGGTTCAATGTTCTGCCGTCACTGTGCATCGTTGTGGGGAGGGACAGAGAGCCGGTGTGTGGTTCACATAGCTGTGGGTGTCCAAGGGATTCAAAGCCCTCACTGGATCTGAGGGATTAGACCAGACAAGATAATATTGCCTCCAGCAAGTTGGGTAGGAGGCTTCCAGAGTTTAGCTTTCTAGTTCATTGCTCTTTTCCTCTCCTATTTCTTTCTGTTTTTAAAAAAATAAAATAAAATAAAAAAAAATCTAAATATTATTTCACCATTCCAGGATATAATTAATCCTGGAAATCATCCCTAGGTGAAACTTCAGTACATTATCCTGCAGAGTAGCAAGCAACACTTTCACTTTGGAAGACTTTCTTTTGGCAAAGTATTCACTAACTGTGGGGTTGCTGGCTTAGGCACTCCAAGCAAACCTGCTGCTAGCCAACAGAATTGAAGATGTTTTTATAGGAAAGTGTCTGTCATTCTCCTAGCAGGGCCGAGGATGTTTCTGTGGAGATCTGCCATAGCTGAGCAGAAACATCAGTGATGTTCAAAACCAGCAAAAACACCGCAAAACCCACAAAAACAAAGATGAGATTATTCTGTGGATTGCCTGTTTTATTGAATTTGGGATCATTAGTGTTCAATTTGCCACTGGCATGAGAAGACTTAAATGTTCTGCAATGCATTTAGCAAAGCAGTTCTCTTGAACAGGAGACCCTGCCACTGGAGTTTGTTAAAGGTCCTGAAACGCTGCCAGGTACTTCGCACTGGCACATGGGCGAGAAGTGTGCCGATTTATCCTCAGGCGTCCTCCCGTGAGGATCTTCCCCCATAAGTGTTCTTAGGGGAAACACAGACAAATAATTAATGAATGAAGCAATAACAGGGGAAATAATAGACCCCAGTGGAATAGAGGAAGAGATCTTGCAGGGAAAGGTCACATGAGCTACCAAACAGAATTTATTACAATCAGGCATTAAATTAAGGGCAAGGAAAGGCTTCTTTGTGCAGAGAAGGAAACTGTTACCAAGAAACAAAAATTTACTAGTTGTAAAAACAACCTTAGAAAACACGGATAGGAACACACTGACTTTGTAAAGCCAATTTCTCCAATTTAAACACAGGCAGCATCACTGCTCTCTGCCTACCTCCTCCCCTTCAGGCTCACATCTAACTGTGCCTCACAGCCCCCATGGCTTCCAACCTCCTCATTACCAAAACCTCAATTGCCTCCTCCAGAAATGCTTCTCCAGACACCCGCCTGCTTCATCACAGACTCATGATGCACGGTGCCACTGTTTCAGTACGTATGTTATTGTTTTGATGTCTTCTGCTCATATCATCAGTCTACAGATCCATGGAGATGGACTTCTGGAGCTGACATCTCCAGTTGTGCAGTATGCCTGCACTTGGCGCCACTTAAATCATCATCCCCAGAGCAGACAGTATCCTCCACAAGACATGGATAAGCAGGTTTTCCAGTTTCGTTCTACAATCTGATGATCCACAAAGGATGCATTTCTCTGTGGCCACGTGCCCGCAAATTTTCAGGTCTTGGAAAATAGCTATCTGCCTAGATTAAATGATATATCAGCAGCACGTCTGTCCAGAACCTTGGCTAAACTCACAAGAAAAAAAAATTCAGATTAAGAAATCACATTTAATTGCACTGCTTCCTCCAGAAATGCATTTTCCATACTGCTGAGCTGTGCATTGCTTCTGAGTGATAAGGGATGTGCTATTTTAGGAAGATTGAGCCTAAAGGAGTGAAAATTTGATTGTTGTGCTGGCTTTTTTTTTTAAAGCAAGGCAAGCTGCCGGAGCCTTGCACTGCTGAGCTGTGTGCCTTGGCAGCTGCACCAGGCAGGGTACAGCTCCGCTACAGCAGTGGCAATGGTCACAAAGATTTTTGGCCAAAATTACCCATGGATTAAAACCATCAGCTGTAGGCTCTGCTGATCGCCACCAGTTCTGCATTTTCTCTCTTATCAAAAACCGCTCCTCTCAGTGGGCCATGCACACAGTCTTTGAGCTGCATCAAATGAAGATTTTCTTCAGGTATATGTGCTAAGATGTGCGGACACTCAAATAAATACAAATGTACTTTTAAAACTACATATCCATCTGTTAATCTGTGTCTTCCACACAGCAACTTCACCACATTGCCAGACACCCTTCCGTCATGCCACCAGTAGGCTCTAGAGCTTTATACACAATATATTTTCCATAAAACATGGGCATCACATAAGTGTAAGAGTGCAAAATAAAACTTAATTTTATGCAAACATGGAAGAAAAATCTTAAAATGAAAAAAACCCACAGCCCTCAAGACCACCAGCCCTGAAGTTTATCACTATTACTATCTAGCACACTACAATGATGTTATTTTTTCCTTCCAAAAAAGTTTTATTTAAGCTTCCAGAAAATTGTAGAACTGCATCAGTAATTCTCACTAATCTCCTTTCCACACTTTCATGATGAGCCTTTTTAGGAGCACAAAAATAGCCTGACAGTTGCTGTGGCCCTACTTTGACTGTGTGAGCAGAAGGAAGCAGAAAAAATTATGTCCTTACCTTTAGGATAGGGGCCATGAAGACAGACACACCAGTCAGAATGAAAACAATGATTCCAGTGACTCTCTGCTCCCTGAAACAAAATCACTGGGTGAGCAGGATGGCTTCAGCTTTCATCCGTTTTTTTTCTTCCCCTCTCAGACTACTCAAAATGAACATGAAGCCTGACAACTCATTTTTGCAGCCACATTTTCCAAGCAGACTGGCAATTACAAGCCAATGGCATCAGACAGGTATCTTGATCCTGACCAAGCCTCATACACCTCTTTTTTCAAACACCACATCAGTTTTTATATGCCACCTTAGCTCTGCTGTTTGTGGATCAGCAGAGTACTGCTACTGAGTAAGGAGTGTGTTTACACGTTAAACATTAGAAACCGTTAACTAGCAATCCAAATCCTCTGCACGGCAGTGTTTAGAGCATGCACATAGGTAATAAATCATTAGCTCTCCATTCTTAGATCAGCAGCATATTCTGAGTCCTGGTCACAGCACGCCAGCAGTTGGATAAATGGTTCAAGCTTTCATGGGGTGCTGAACACATGCCTTCATCAGCACCCACAGCTGCTCCCTACATCCAGAAATACTTTCGCCAGGAATATTTCAGAGTACTGAAAGTTAGGCCATTAAATTTCTATTTAGTCACCTAAAGTGGCCTGATTTCCAGAAGTGCTCCTGTTGAAAGTACTTCAAACCACTTAATTAAGGCAACCAAATACAGGAAAAATTGCTTGATTAAGTAGGGGTGATTGCTCTAGGCATGACAGGTTTACTTTTTTTACCATTATGTTTGCTAATGAATGCCTATCTAATTTCCATGGACAAAGAAATCCGCAGTAAATTTATCTCCTTTCTCAAAACATGGAAAACTGTGTCTGATCTGGCCAAATAAACTTTTGAGGAGTTACACGGGGATTTGTCCAAGGAATTGCCAGAGACCTGCACTGCTAAATCTCACAAACAGGTTTGGAAAAATGAAGAAAGCAGCATGAAATTCTTCATGACAACTTTGCAGCGTCCCATGGGCACCAGAGCTCGCCCTGTAAAGCTTTGTGTATTTTGTGGTTACTTGCCCAAAGCAGACCAAGAAATGGTCTAAGCTCTGGTGCAAAAGTTTCCTTCCTTTCCTCCCTTTGATACCACATGTTTGCACAGGCTCTCCCCTATCTACAGGCATGCACATAGTACAACAATTTTCTTCCTTTTCAAGAAAGAGTATTTGCAAAAGGGCTACACCAGCTAAACTTCTAACTAAATATATCCTCTGTGGACAAAAAAAGCTTTAAGGAAATACAAGCCAATCTGAATATTTACAGCAAATCTAAGACTCTTCCCCCTGAACCTTTGCACGTGTCCTGCTTGAAGCAAGATCATTTGTAGTACAAACTGATCTTTGAAGACAAACAAGGCAATTAAAGTCTTTTTGGTTTGACATACCTCACTCCCAAAAACTTGGGCTGTTCTCCAGGGGCTGAAGTTTCCGTCTCCATCTTCAAGCTGTCAATATGAGCAATGGAGATCACGGTAGCAGCAACATACCAAGGCAGACCCATAAAGGAGCATATGATCATCAGAATGGCCACCCAGAACAAATCCAGATGATATCCAGCACCTTTCTGTGAAGGGAAACAGAAGGGAAACCTTCAGCTTAAGTATTCTAAATACCTATGGAAGGGCCAGGGCTCTGGCCTGGGGGCAGAGGCACACCAAACAAGCAGAATTTCCTTCTACAGCACCTTTTGGCCAACAGAAATGGTCCTAAGAAATAGCAGGGTAGGACACATTGCTCCTTAAAGGATGAATTACCTGCCTCCACAAGGAAAAGAGGTGTTACAAGCTCTGAGAACAGCAGCGTACAGTGAGCACAGGAAAGCAGCAGACTTGCAAGCAGTCTGGCAAAAGACCAAGCACCTTGTGAACACTATATAGTGGTAGGAGGTGGAGTTGGTATAAGCCAAGTCTCGTGACCAGCTACATAGGTCTTTACAGAGGTATTTGACACAGTAGACCATGAGTTAAAGGCAATCAGAAAGCACAACCTTCACCAAAAAATATCTGGTGAGATACACATTGTATCTTGTAAACAGTATAAGCAAGCTCTCAATATGTATCACACACACACACACACACACACACACACACACACACTTAAGATGTCTTGGTATTAATGGGTTTATAGTGTTCTGAAGGAGCTGCATTGTCTCTTACAAAAATGAAACCCCATTATAAAGCACTATTTTTATAATGCTATGTTCCCATTCTTTTAATGAGATAATACATCAAAAAGAAATCCAATGCTCAGTACCACCCCAACCCCTGCTGCTTCCCAACAGCACCTGCAAAAACCACAACAGCCCATTTTCACAGTACAAGACAGTTATGGCATCAAGAGAGTTTGGAGAGGGCGAGCAGATGGAAGACAGTCTACAAAGCAAGACAGCAGCTTGCAGTGGTGCGAGCCGTTTGTCTGACCACTCTGCTACAACTGCACAGAACACCTTTTGATGTGGTGGGAGGCCAAGACTGGTACCTGTGTGTGCCAAGTCATCTCGTGCCTGTGTAAGTGACAGCTTCGATGTGCACAGAGCTTTAAACACGAAAACCACCTTTTAAAACCAGCCCAAAGCCTAATTTTAGTTTTAAGCAGTTGTAAAATAACTCTCAGCATAATGACTTAATGAAATATACCTGAAAGCAATCTTACAGAACTATGGTGCCTGCCAAAAGGTAACATTTGCCATTTGCTGTCTCAGAGTGAGCTCTGAACTCCTATATTTAGGATAGGAAGCAACAGCGGGATCTCACATTCAGGACTTCACAACTGGTCTGAGCCCTGCTGATCATGCCTGGTGCTGGAGACATCTTCCTCAACACCCAACCCTAGGCTCTCTTGGAGAAAGCAACACGAACAGCTGATGGGCTCATACCCTATTGAAAGGAGAAAACTGCTCTCATTCTTTACTCATTTTGAAAGATCTCCAATGTTCTGTTTTTTTAAATCCTTTAATAAAGTAAACCAGGAAATCCACCAGTCACCAAGTGCTAAGTGAAGAAATGGAAGAGCCACCAAAGAAAGGGATCTTCATAAAAATACTAGATAAGTCTCTAAGATTTGCTATTTTTAAGAAGGTTAACCATTTTTTAATCCTGTTCAATTTGATTTTATTGGAAAGAACAAATGATCTGGACCCAGGAGGGAAAGCTCGTCTAGAATAGTCCTCATTGTTTTCCTCATACATGCACTGCTTACCTTGGCTGGCCAGCAGCACTGGGATGGGCACTCAGTGACAACCTGCCAATACTTTAGCAAGGCATTAGCAGAAAAAAAAAGTTCTTCTGGCCTACAACAGATTTTGTGTATGGAGGTGGTTTTTGGTGCAGAGTAGCAGGATTGGACTTAAGAATCCCCCCATTTAACAAAAGCATGCGCTCACAACCGTAACAAAGGAAGCAGGAAATAATTGTTTTATATTAAACAGTACTTTGCTGGAGTGTTTATAGTTTGTTACTGAAAAAGTACACCCAATGCTGATACCATAACCATGTTCAGTGCCTATAAGCTGAAGAGATGAGGGGCCTCTTCTTCATGAGAGAAGAACAGTGAATATATTCAACTGATTAAGAAAACCATATATCTGCTTAGTTAGGTGCAGGAGACAGACCTAAAACTGAGATCATATCAAAGATTAGCCTCGCCCCAAGGAAGATGTGTGTACAGTACTGAATATATCTGCCAAGACCCAGATGTCAAAAAGTGATCTTCGGGTTTGTTTTTTTTTGTAAACAGCCCTGTAAGACCATCAGCCAATACTCATCACTGTGCATGCAAACTTTTCCTATTCCCTGTTACTCTGACTTTCTCCTCCAAGTCAGGCTCAGTCTGTCTGAAATCACACATCAATTGTCTAATGTTCACAGTGACAATATGAATTGAAACATCCTCCTCTTTTTCAAGTAAAAGCTCCATTTTACTTTACATTCACATTTCCAACAGCTCTCAATATAACTGATGAAGTAGATATCTAAATAATAACCAAGCATTACCCATGTTTTGAGGGAGTCTTTACTCTCATGTGTTAGACCACTTGAAATGTGTCCCATTAGCAGGAAGGGAGAGTTGTCTTTTACAGGAATTTAATATTTTTCAATAGAACTGACCATGCAGGGAAAGGAAAAACCCTACAGGCATGAAAAACTGCATAGCGCCAGTCTGGAAAGTTTATTTTAAAAACATTACTACATCTTAAGCTGTTATATGTCAGCAGATAAAAAGGTCTTCTTTAAATAACATCCAACTGTGGCTATGCCCTTGGTATGTCCCAAATCTCTTCAGTTTATTTCTTATATTTTACAGCACTGTACAGCCAACACATCTGTCATACTTGGGTTGACTCTAGTCATACCCACCACAGGCGGGGTCCTGCCATCGCCCCCAGTGTTCCAAAACCTTCTTCAAGTGGCCAACAGTCACATCGACATGCTGTGCCTGCTCAGGGATGGCAGTGACACAAAGAGACCTTGTTCTGCCGATGGAACATCTGCTGGTGATCATCTTACATGATAAACACAGTAACAGGGGCTTGTCATATCCAGAGAAACTTTGCCCGTTGTGATAAGGTGAGAGATTCTGGCTTGGGTGCAATAATGCAGTGCTGTGCAAATTGAAATTAGGTCCTGGATCAGGTTAAGGCAGAGCTCCTGACAGAGGAGGCTCTTCCAAACTCACAGACTATCCCCACCACAAGCCTGAGCTCCAAAAAATGGGCACTCTCTGCAGATCTGTGCATGACTTGGTGGACCCACTCTGGCCATCCTCATTTTCCTTTCCATGCTGATGCATCAGATCTGTAAAGTATCCCCTTATAGTCTACAACAGAAGTGCAGGGAGAAAGCTGACCACAGTCACAAAGCAAACTTCTGTCCTTAAAAACAGCAACAGATGACAGGGAATAAGGCCCATGTTTTTGAGGGAGGAAGGTGGTAGGATGAAAATTAGATGTCAGGAGTAATTTGATGCAAGAGGAAATTTGAGTTAGCTGGAATTGAGTCTGGGACTAGTTTCTCTAGAGTACTAGAGTCTTTGAAATGAACAGCCATTTGAAATCACCAGCACTACCAAAACCCAGTTTTGCACACCAGCCGTAAGGCAGTGAGTGATCAGAACCTTCTGCTGGCCCAAACCATCTTCCCATATGCCTTGTTGAAAAAAATGCCGGAAAGAACATCTGCCAAACATGCTCACTGGAAAGGACATGTGTCCTTCCTAAGTGTTCCTGAACATCAGATCTGAGGGCTTGTTTTAAAGCAATGAATGCTTCTGGTAGTATGTATAATCATGTTTGCTGGACATTGTGGACAGCATGCGCTTACCCTACACAAGCAAATATCCAGAATGACAGGCATCAACTTTTCTCACCAATTTCTGACTGTGTTTAATGTACTGATTTCTCATCTCCTACTGGAAAAGCAGAGCACACCAGATGGACAAGTAAAACAGACAAGCAAATAACTTTGTTTCTGGATAGATACACACTCTTTCCTATTCTAACTCTTCCAATGGCTGTCTTGTAGAATTACCAAGGCAAACAATACCTCTGCAGTCAGGACTAGTAGATTCTGAAATGAACTTCATCCAGCCCTTTACTAAGGTAGACCAGTACTACTACCATGAGTAGAGTTGCAGGGACAGCAAGGTTAAGTAGGCAGTCAGACACTGTTTACACTGGTACTGTTCACAAGACAAGCTTTGACTAGCCTATACCTACCAGTTTTCTTTGCCATTCTCAAATGTTTACAGTTGGAGAGTGAAGCTCTTGCAAGGAAAGATCAAAATGTTGTAAAGGTTTTAAGAAACTTTTAAGTTTATGTCAACATGAAAAGGGGCTTTGAACAAAAGTCCTGCCTCTCAAAGGAGGGCTGCTCTAATTTCTTCTGGCTCTAGCCACATCTTTGCCAGATAGGCAGTGGGTAGGATGTGATGAATTTAAGTCCTTTCATTTGCTTAGAAGGGAAGAGGTAGATGGCTGGTTTTGTGAAATCTGACTATTCCTGGCATGGGACCTGTTTGCAAAGGAAAAGGGAGGCACAATCCCAAAGCTTCTCATGTAGCAATGCTTCAGGCTGCACGATGGTGAAGCCAACCAAAATTAGTAAGTGCTTACTGAACGAGACATTGCAAGTTGGCCTCCACAGGGTTCTTGCTTTAGGAGGAAGGCAAATGCTGTTTGTGCAACGGCCAAGATTTTTACCGAACCAGCGGTTTTCCTGGCAAAACACTCTACGCTAATTAACAAAATAAATATTGTTGTTAAACATCAGCAATGATGTTTCTGAGGTGGCATGTACGTTCAATACTACTACAGACCTTCCTCCGCTTCTAGCACAGCAAAAGCACCAGGCAGCTCTCTGCATGAGTGCAAGACACAAAGCACACCCACCTTGAGCTTGTGCTCCTTCCTGTTGACGATGACGGCTGTGATCTGCTGGTCCATGAAGATGAGGATAGTCACCAGCAGTGCAGGGATGGCTGCTGCCAGGTACACCCACCATGGGTTCCCTCCAAAAGGTGGGATAAACCAACCCCTCTCGGGACTGGTTGGCTTTTAAGGGCAAGAAAAAGAAAGGCTGCATTAGAACTGCAATATAGGAGTGGTGACATTCTAAATACTCTCATACTTGCAGCAATGGGGCTACAGGGAGACACTGGAGGTTTGTGACAGTTTCATCCTTCCCATTAACCGCAACAAAAGGTTCAGAGTATAGAGTCAGGATTTGGGAGATAAATCAGCCAACCAAATCAGCCAGTGATGCTAATAAAAAGGATATCATCTGAGAAAAATGGTCCTTTCCAGATAGTTGACCACTCTGCTGTTTTGAGGGTGAGTTATTTTACACAGGGCAGATGGGTGGAAAAGGAAACCTCTTCTAAAGGCCACCAAATAAGCTGACAACGACATACCTTGAATTCACTTGGCACGATTAGTTTGGGTGTGTCCACACCTACCAGGGCATCTATTCCACAGAAAATCAAAATGGACAAGATAATGGCAAAGTCACTGATGAGCTTCCGGGCCTGAAACAGAAGTGGATATCATAAAAGTAGTCAGCACTATGAAACACCATCTCACCCATGTTTTAGTTTCTATGTGATACTCCAGGCTCGCGTTTGGTGGCAATACAAGCTCATAGTTTCTTCTTTTATAGAAACAAAGGTGTGCATTGTCATGTCTGGTGCCATTTGCCTAAATGTGCCTTGTACTTTATTGCACTGTCTGAAAGCCAAACAATTAAGCCCAAATGGAAGGATGAAAACAAGCCTAAGGAAAAAGAAAATGGCTTTTGTAAGAAACTCCCACATTAATTCTTCAAGGCAGTCTCAGTGATGTTAGGTTCAGCAGCTGCCAACAACCACTGGTATGGAGACCTAGTTCCTCTGCAGCAGTGTCTGAAGAGACTTCAGGATCAGCTTTCAATGTTAACAGATATTGAACATTTACAAATAAACCTAAAAAAGTAATGACTGTTTTAGATATACAAAATATTGTCTCCTGTTTGTCTTGTGATTTCTGACTCTTTAGGGTCCATATATTCATGTTTTTCTATGCAGGGCCAGAGACTGCTTTTTTTGACACGGGTCAAACTTCTTGTGTTATCACAGGATTCCTGAGGTTTTAACAAAAAATACTGTGTTATCCACAGACACCATTATTTTAATATGGCTGATTCTGCAATGCAGATTAACACACACACAAAAAAAGGGAAGAAATGGTATTTTATACAAGGTAATGGAAACAGTCACAAACTTCCCTTTAGAAGGGAAAATCAAAACAGATTAGATGTTCTGTATGACTAGCAAAGATTATATTACTGCTCAAGTAATAAATCAACCTAAACAGACAAGAAAACAAACTAGGCTTCTCAACTAAATCCTCAACACACCCTAGGAGTGCAACTCTCCTGAATTCACTGGAATATGACAACTTCAAGCTGCCACTGGTCAAACCCCGAAATTTAACCGGGCAGGACCCGCTGTGCTTGACTGTAACTGTGTGATCTTTTCAGAACTGTTGCTCCTTCCAAATTTCCTGGGTTCACATGGTTACAGATAAATTGAGCTGCATTCCAGCCCGGATGGAATTTGCTTCCTTTTTATTAAAAATAATAGAGGTTCAGTTGTAACACAGCAGAACAGTAAACATCCATGCAGGATAAATCCCCACATGTCAGAATGCCAAAAATGGGGTGGGGTAGGGGCAGGTCTTGGAGAGAAACATGGCTTTGGTACACACAGAAACTGCCAGCTCGCATGCGCTTTGTGGTAACTTTACTTGGGGACACAAAGCAAGCAGATGCGCCTGAGAGATGCATGTAAGTTGGCGTTAAGTCTGAGCAGAATCTTGTTTAAATCAATGCTGATGTTTTTCAGATCATCCTTATTTTGCATCTGGATCTTCAGAGAAGAAAGGGAGTTTTTGCTTTAGGTCCCTACCATAACAAGTAGACCAGGAATAGAGTAGTTGAGTTCAACATTTTTGCACTGATTTCTGAGTATTTCAAACACTACGCAAGAACATCGAAGACATGTTCTCCTGTTCTATACTGACAGCTCGCTTACCTGCTTTTACTCACTGACAAAGCAAAGGGCTTCTTTTGTCCTCCCCAAATACTCCTTCTGGCTATGAGCAGGGAGACTACTGATGTAACAATTAATAGCCTCTTTTGGTTGTTTGGTTTCTGTAGAACAGCCACGCATCGTACCCTAGAGTCAGTACATCACATTAATCTGTGTATCTGACACTGAAAAAGGCCAGCTGAAACTATATATGCCTGAAGGATTCCTCTGATTTCTTAAGGCTGGTAAGATACATCATTGCATATCTCAGCTCGGAATTGCTGTCTGCAGCACCTTTAAAATAACTGCCATATCCCCACAACAGATTACGGCGCATTTTGGCTCTTCTGCTACCCTACCCATGCCCTCCAGAAACACTGAGGGACAGCTAAGAAATCCCAGACATATCTTCATCAACCAGTTCCATGTTTTTATCTCAACCAATACAACCTGGCTTCCCTGCAAAGCATTTCTCCCTGGGTGTGTGTGACAGCTATACCAAAATGAAGGCTGATCTTTGCACTCTGAAAGAGTAAAGAAACACGCTGCTAGGGTGAAAGGAGATACTTACAGTGGTTGGAAAATAGCGACTGGTCTTGAATTTCTTCAGGGCCATGGAGCAGGTGTAAGTGCCAAAGAAGAGGATGAAAGACATGAGGGTGATGTCAGGGACATATTCACAGTTGTTGCCCACAAGCTGTCCTCCGTATTTCAAGCACTCCTTCATTGTCAGAGATGACCAGTCAATGGTGGTGTTGTACTGCAGAAAAAAAGAGAACATTTCCATAAAACTGTGCATAAGCTGCTCATGCTAGAACAAGGCATCAGGAAAAATACTGGGAGGCAAAGGGAGGCACAGTGCAGAGGCTAAAAATCCCTGTGCTTGTGTGCAGACAGAAGGGATTTTAATCTGGACAGAGGATGGTATTACCTGGGAGCTGAGGACAGTCTGGGCCTCAGAAAGAAAACAGAGATCTGCTGACTTCTGCTGTGATCTGCCAGACATGTTCTGCATTTTCTTCAGTGGAAAAGCAGTGCTGGAAACCTCACACAGAAGCTGGAGTGGCTTGAGACCACCTCTACATTCACTCCCCGCTGCTCACTCACTGCAAGCAACACCAGATCCAAACCCATTTCTCTCAGGTCAAGGCCAGCACTGTTTCCACAGCAGAAAATCTCCCTCCTTGTCCTTTCTAGAAATAAGGCTTGAGTTCACCTCATGCCTGCTGTCAGCTTCTGCACACACAGCGCCGCACTGCAGCTACCGCGGAAAATTTAAAGGATTTTCAGGCACCTATAAAATTCTGTCATTCTGGAGAGTTTTAGAATCACATTGTCTCTGCTCCTCCTTTTCTGCATGGAAATACCAGGGAAGGAAACCATAGTCCCAGGAACCATTACATCAGAGAGAAAGAATGTTTTAAAATAACTCAAAACGAATAAAGCCATAGAGAAGAGTATTTTACTCCAAATGATTGTTATAGAGAACTTGTCACAAATGTGGGTACAGACTAATTCAGACCAACAAGAAATTTGCCAGAAAAAAAATGTCCTTTATGCAAGAGTGCAAGGCACAAAATATCCTTTTGTTTATAAGTGACATTTTCAAGTAGGGGGAAAAAAACCAAATCTAACTTATATTAGAAATTTTGAAAATATCTAAGGTACCTCCTGAAGGCAAAATGTTCATGGCCTCATGTTGGTCTATGAGTATCTTGTTCATGTGTGTATGTTGAGAAATACATCATACATGTGGTCAAACTGGATGCTTACCAAGTTGTGGTTTGAAGCTGCATGTAATAAACTGCAGCTTCCTCAGCAAATGTGAATCCCAAGAGCCGAACTGAGGCAAGATTTTGTTGACACTGATGGCAGGGTGGGGGGGAAACCCAACAACAAAACCCCCAGCTCTGTGTTGTTGTTTGACAAGGTGCTGCTGCATTTGCGCTCTCAGCATTGTCTCTATGGCATCAAGCAGCAGCACTTTGCCCCTCTTCAATGGGATTTCTGCAGATCTGCCCTGACTGCTAACCTCAGGATGGCAACCGAGGGGAGAGAAACATGGCTTTCAAAGCAGGGAGATAAATTAAAAAAACAAGTATTTTGTGAAAAAAAAAACCAAACAAAAAACTTTACATTTTGTGATCTTACATCTAAAGAAATAAGTACTGGCAAGTGTTCAATAGGTAACTGCTTGGGATACCAGGAGCAGAAAGAAGAGGGCAACTCTCTTCTCTGGGAGACCTCCCCAGTGTGATCTTGCTTTCTCCCCCTGCCCGCTGCTTGGCAGGACTTTTACTGGGGCTGCTCTTCCCCTTCCCAACACCACCGTCATATGTCCCTAGACATCTGTTTTGATTTGAAACTCTAAGGCATCCAAAATGGGGCCTGAAAACAGAGCTAAGCTCTGTGCCCCCAACTGGCTCCCCTAGCAGGGACCAGGGCTAAGGCAGAGCATCGTACAGGGAGAACATGGCCTCCCAGCTCTTTCCAAAATCAGGCAGAATCACAGAGTCAGGACTGACAGGAGTCCCCTCCTGCATTGCAGGAAGGATGTTACAAAGCAGAGTTTTGGGGGAGGAGAGTTGAGACACCAATACAACGGTTCCAAGAAAGTACAGCCTGCAAATGTAAGTTGTCGGGGTTTCATGCCTCCAGGCCTCAGCTCAGTTCTTTGCCTTCCTGTTAGGCACAAAAAACCCAAGAAAAGTTGACCTTGTTAACAGAACAGAAGTGGCAATGGGCACTCTTCTGCCGACAGGTGGATGTAGATGTCCTGATGGCTGGCATTGTACTGGGGCTGCTCATCTCTCCCCCAAGCGTTAGTTTCTGTGGCAAGCAGCTGAACAAAAAGCCCCTCATTTTCAGCTCTTCCAGAGGAAGCCAATTCAGATGCTCAGGGACCACAGCCAGCCAATGAAGTAGGCAAGGAACAGCAAAGGGCACCTGAAGTGCAGCCTGGACCTCAGGAGACCTATTTCTTCACCCTGCGAATGACCACCTCAGGGACCTTGGGCAATGCTCTTGCCTTCAGGCTTGTGTCTTCTCATGTTCCTAGTGCCTGGAGACAGCATGCCCAGCTCAGAAACCATTCCCTTCCTGCTGGGCCACTTAATGCCACACAAGAGTGGCCAACACATAAAAAGAAACACAGACAGGCAGGATCTGTATTCTTCAGCAGGAAGTTGTTACTCTGTCTCAACTTACTTCCCCTGCATCAAACAAATGTATTTGAGTCCATCAACTCCATTTCTTTCTCCTCATTGTCAAAAGCTCACCACCAGAGTGAAATGTGGAAAAGCCAGGGTTAGCTACAGAAAAATCTAAGAATGGAATGGAAACAGGACCTTCCAAAGGAAGGGCTGGCCACAACACTCCTACCATTACAGCCCTGGACACAAGGATCTGACTAATTCCCCGGGGGAACCATTTGCATCCTGTCAACACACAGAGATCAGACTGCAAGAAGTGGCCGCTATTAGCAAGTAATTAATATTATCAACTTGTGCACACAGTATGTTGAATGCAGTACAACGAGAAATCCTCGGAGGATTAAGTGGGCACACCAGAAGGAGCACTGTCACATTTTCACAGTGTCAAGGGCAACAGGGGAGTGTCAGCATAAGGGTTTTCTTCACATGATCAATTCCTGATATACTAGCATGGCCCAGCAGAAACGGACGGCACTTGCAGACTTCAAAGACCACATAAACCCTGCCCTCGAAAAGGGCACTTACCATCTCAGTAGAGGAATAGAACAGCTCATCGGCTGACGGCACAGTTGTCCTGTTAAATAGCGAGCTATTAACTGCAAGAGAACAGAAAAGGGAATACCATGAGCATGGTGCTGAAACAGCTAGGAAGGAAAGCAAATTTCAACTGTCAAGCCATTTGTTAACTCCATCAAACTGTCTGTAATCCCTTTGCTCAAGTAAAGTGAGTCAAAAGTATTGTTTCAGAGTGACTCAAAAGCATCAATCATCAATCACTTAAAAAACAGAAAAAAAGGCTAAGTGAAACATAATTCAAACCTAACTGGGTTTTTTTTGGAGTTCATTTAAAAAAAAAAAAAAAAGAAAAGAAAAACCAGACAGACAATAATACAGTATTTCATGGTTTTGCAGTATTATTTCTAGCAATTTCTGAATTAAAATAAATATCACAGAACACTCCTAATTATTACCTTAAAATTAATGCACAACCGCAAAGATACCCAGAAAAGCAAAACTAATCTCAGAATCCAGCACAAACACATTTTGCACTTAAAAAAAACCCAAACAGATTAAAAGAGTAATTGAAATCAACAGGATGAAGATAATTTCTCTGAAAAAAGGGCAGCATTCACTGTTACAATGATAAATGTTTTCCTTTTGTTTTCATGGGATTAGAAATCATTTATTTGAGATTCCATTTAGAAATGCAATCTTTCCTGAAGATAGGCTTGTCAACTATGTACTCATGTTTTATTCAGGTTTTGCATCTCCTTTTATGTCTGATAAGAATATTTAACTTGTATTAAAATATCGCATAGCTCACATTTGTTTGGCTGGAGAACGAGAAAGCACATTTGTTTCTTATCCTACTGAAATCATACTAGGGTCTAAATAAGTAGTAGGACATCTTTGTATGCAGGCAACCTTTCCCAGGTCCTTGACAAGTAAGATCTCGTGAGTTTTGCTGTGCAGATTTTGCTATGGACAGGGATCTCTCTGAAAAGGTCAGATGGGTAGCCTGCTCCTTAACCCCAAGGACAACACTTGAGCGTGGAAACTGTGCCAAGCTGCAAGCCATGCTGCGAGGACGGAGCTGAGCCTGTAAAACGATGCAATCCTTTTCTTGAGAGGTCAAGTCTGAGAAGAGATAATGTGTCTCTCAGAGTGCTTTATGCTCTTTTTCTAGCATCTCTGATGATGTCCAAACCCTCTTGGTAGGCTTGACAAATGAGATAAAAGGCCTTTTAGTTGGAGCAGCTTGTCCCCTTTGTGCAGAAACATGTAAGGTGGCCAGTCGAACCGGGGTCTTCACACTGTCACATCGGTATCCAAAAACTGCACAGAGCAGAAAGTAACAACTTACAATCTTCTAGACCTCCAGTCCCCTCCACTGCAGCTCTTGAGCCCCCTTGGCATTCAAGCACACTTCCCTGATGCTTTGCTAAACAGTTGCTATGTGGATGCTATTACTCCTGAAAGTGGATGAAGCATGGGTTTGGCTGCTGGTTTTGCCTTTTAACTTCTTGACCCACATTACAAAACAGTGCATGTTTGCTCAGAGACACAGACTGGAGGTGCAAGGATCAAAGGGAAGTCCCTGCAGGACACACTAAATAATCGTTGCCAGAGCACACACAGATCCCATTGGTGATTTGAAAGGCATTATATTAAGGTCCTGGGGAAAGTGTGATGGGGCTGGCAAGATGCTGCTCCCTGGTCTTCTGAGGCCCCTGAAAGTGGGAGCGCAGGCAGAATCCACTGCAGAAACCAAGCAGTGCAAGCCAAGGGCTGACGCAAAAACTCTGGAGCCAAATCTTAATGACACAGAGATTAAAACCAACAGTAAAAAGCCTGAACCAGAATATGAGGGAAGAGGCAGATTCACCTGTGGCATGACAACAATCAATGAAGTTTTACTTGCGCTCACTTTGGAAAAAAAGCAAATAAATCTGCCTCCAGCTCCAGCGCAACTCCTGACAGTTTATCAACCCCTGCTCACCATACCCCAACAGCCGCAGACATTATCTGCACTAGAGGAAAATCACTGGAGAGAAAGCACCTGCGACTGCATTACCCTTTTCTTCCTAGAATCAGGCATCCCCTTTTGCTAATCTGCCACATGCATTTTTATTCCATTTCCTGATGCCTGAGAGAAAGCTTGCAAGCTTTCAGGGAGGAAATGTTCGCATAAAGGATAATTGATGTCCTAATGCTCCCATGGTATCTGCTTACAAAACCTGCTGCTGCAAGGTTACAGTTTTGAGCTTTGTTTCAGAGACACTCACTACACTGCTGGGATCGCGGCTTGCTTTGGCTTAAGCTCAGATCTCCCCACTTTATCTTATGCTGTGCCATCCTCCTCAGTGCATCCACCCAGAGCCAAAGCAGAAAGAGCCCAGGCAGATGCCGGGGCACAATTCCCCCTTTCCCCAAGGCCCTCTGGTCACTGACACCATGCTGAGCAGCTACTAAATATCCCAGAAAGGCAAGGATGATATTCTGCCTCTACTTTGCCATCTTATATAGGGCTTTAAAAAAATGCAGGACATGGAGAATAAAGCCACTTAGGTCACAGACTGACCCCCATTGCATGGCTATAAGCATGTACACAAAGCAAGGCACTATCTTTATAAACAAGTGAACTTGGAACCCCTTTGCGAAAGTGTTTGGCTTAGACTCTGTCCTGGTTGTTGCTTGCTACTTTGCTGCTGATTTACTGTGGTGTGGTAAGAGAGGAAATCTCCTCTGTAGCTGTGATGAGCAGCTGATGTGGAAAGCTGTTTATTTAAGGAGCAGGAATTAAATCTGTGCTGTCTCTTGCTTATGGATGCTGCCTGTGTTTATGCAGAGACACAGCGACAGACACAGGCATGTATCGGCGTATTTCAGATCTGTGAGAGGCCAAACTGCCAGTGTCACGACTGACATACTAGCAGCTATTTCACAGGCCACTTGTTCCTCTGGTAAATTCCTTGCTTCATCAAATCCATCAAATCCACTGTGAAAGGACACACCAAGCCAAGGATGAGAAAAGCCAAAGGACCCAGCTAGCATCAGTGTAAGCCCAGCACTTGCTGCTTCCCACACAGAATCTTCAAATTAAATTTTTAGCTTGTCCTGGAGGGAGTTAAATATGGGATCACTCTGTTAGCTGCTCCATTCCCAGTTTGCTGTTTCCAATCTTCTCCCTCAACTTTGGCACCTTCTGAAGCACTGGCCTTTGTGCCTGAGTTGCCACAGACTCAGGCAGACCTGAGCAGGAGAGCTTGGTGTGGCTGAAGCCAAGTTTTCTGAACAGGCTGCTGTCAGCACCTCCAGTACTGTCTGGTCGCTCCTCCTATTCAAGGTTTATTCAGTGTTACTTGAAAAACTAAGAAACATTTGGAGATGATGATAATAAGGTCATCTTTACCCTCTGAAACAAACATCTGGCAAAGAGGCAAATCAGATGAAGAGAGAACTGTGGCAGCGAGGGTTTGTGAACTCTGCCAAACCACACATGCTGATCCTCCCCCTGCTTTCTTACAAAGGTAAAGACCAGGCAAAAATCTCTTATGAAATAACATGTGGGCTTTTGTCACATGTTCCATTTCCTCTACACATTCCAGCTGTACCACCACATTTGCCCCGGGCACTGGTCTGTCCCCATAGGCATTTAGATGGGAAGTGGAGATTTTCAATTCGGCACTGACCATTCCCCCATTGTCCTAACTCCAAAAAAAGAAAACACCCTGCCATTCAAATGGAAACAGAATTAGACCAGCATCCAAGTGCTTGCAGAGATCCTACATTTAATAACGAACATAAGCACACAGCTCCTAGGGACACCTTTTGCACAGAGGCAGCTAGCAGCACCCAGAAGCTTTTCCTGTTTGACAGGTATGTCAAGATAACCTTAAGTTTACTTTGAGCACAAATCAAGTTTCTTACTCACTCCTCATTGTTTGAAGAATCCTAGGAGTGGTCACAGCTTCCCTAATGGTACAAGCCAGTGTATTTCTGTTTGTATTTGGGTTTTGTAACCTTTTGTTCCCGGTTATGTTGCCGGATCTATATGTATGCTGGCTATACCTGCCTTGCAGCCCACGCTCTAGTGATAGGCTGAGCTGTTGGATACACTTCCTCTCTAGCAAGGAACTGTTTGTGTTTTTCCACACATACACGTAGCCAGGAGGTGGAAAACCACCCATGTTTGGGTAATGCCCTGAATAAATCCAGCTTCTGCACTTGACAAAATGGCACAGTGGATACCAGTAATAACCTGAGCACCACAGCAGTGACGTGGCCACCACTTCACAGACTTTTTGGAGGGATGCCATTCAGAATGAACAGTCACAGGGATGCAAGGAGACAAGGGTACAGAGCCAGCTTCTCCACTAACAACGCTCACATGAAGAGGCCCAGGAAGGTTGGCTAGAAAAGCATACCAGTTGGCACATAGGGTGAAATTCATCCCTCAGCTTCAAAATAAGGCTAAGACAGGATATCTGCAGATAACTGATACAGAAGGATTAATCTACCTGTTAATTATCTGAACTGCAGCACAATAGAGAAAGTAAGCAAATGCGATCTCTATCTGCAAACTGAAGAGCTAATTAAACATTCTCTTACCTGGATATAATGGTTCGCAGGCACAGGAGTAATGTGTGATATAGTCCACCTTGAACTCGGAGTTGATCGGGTAATGATCTGCCAGCTTGATCATCTTCTTGAAAGCATCATAAATGAAGATGAAGCTAATAAGGGAGGAAAAACCTTCTTCGGTGAAGCGGGTGAAGTACTTGACCAGGAAGCTGGCATCAGTAGCGACAAGAATGAGACATTGGAAGGCTGACCAAAGGCCGATCCAGAGACGAAACTCCAGGTAGTCAAAATCATTGTCTCTGCAACAAGACAGGAGTGGAAAGAAGGGAAAAATATCGGGGTTAGATAAAGCCACACAAGATCGTGACTTCCCAGTGAGCAGAGCATTCCCAAGAGCTAAGCTCTCCCTTTTCAGCCAGTCAAGTCCATAAATGTATGCAGTTCAGTTTAATAGCTGAGGTGGCAGAAAAGCATGCAGAAATGATCAGTCGTCTTTACACCTCCAATAATAAATGTTACCAGTGAATTCAAGCTCTTTCTAGGCTTCCCAGTAAAAATCCTCCCTTGGTAAACATGCACAGAGCTGTAAAGGCCCAAACATCCAACTGTCCAGACCGACAGCAATTCAACGCTGACAGCCTTCCACCAGCTGAAGACATAACCACAGTTTACAAATCTCCTTCCGAAAAGTAATCTTCTGCCAAGCCTCACACTCAGGAGCCTGCATTTCCATTTCTCAGGCCCTTGCACTACCTGCAGAAATCAAAGCATCAGCAGGAGAAGATCAATAAGGACAAAGCAGAAGATGATAAACCCTTGTGCCAGGACGTGGCAGGCTCTGGAGAATGATGGAGTGAAGTGCATCGTTCCTTCCTGGGAAGTTTGTTTGCCCCTTGTATGCTTCTTGAGGCTGCCATGCCTTGACAGAGCAGGGGTCCAAAGGCAGGTTTTTAGGACTGAACAAATGTGAAAAGTGAACACCAGAGCAGATGAGGCCCTGCTAGGGAGGTTGCTGCTTGCTCTGAGGAAGGGAGTGGGAAGCAGTGGGGCCAGCAGCCCCAGCCAGTCTGTCTTCCCTGGAAGCCAGGAATCCTGCAGCACTGAAGGACAGAAGAGGAAGGGCAGTTTCTGTGGAAAATCTGTGAACAAAGTATCTAACAGTGTTGGAAAGTTCTGGGGAGGAGACAGGGCTCAGTTTATCCCTTCCTTACCCCAGCTACCTCAAGTGTTGTAAGAAAAACTGAATGTCTCTCGCTGTGAATAAATTTAAATAAAAAGCAGCAAAAGCCATCTTCAAGACACCTTAGGAGTGCAGGCTACACCAGAGAACCACCCACAGCTCTAAAACATAATAGCAGAAAAGCATCTTCAAGCCCCTCTCCAAGGCATGAGGGAGATGGAGAGAGAGGGACTGCCCTGCAGCACAACCCCTCCAGGCCTGTTTGCATCGAGAGAACAGGCATGGGTCAGCACCAGCTCCTCCAAAGAACTGCACGTGCCTTGCAGAGGGCTTATCTCCTAGTACCAGGTACCTGGCAAAACTCTGTGCCTTCAGAGCTGGCTACAGGCTGGTCCCACCATTTCCTCATCTGCACCACAGACTCCCTCAAACCTTGCATAGTCATCATGAAAAATGTCCCTGCATCTCCTATGTACTTGTTTCTGCACACTATTTCCAGGTAGACACAGTGTGCTCTTGCACACCTCTACCCTTTGGCAGTGTTCACACGCTGGCTGCAAACAGCAGCAATTTTTCATGGTGCACCCAAGGCACCTGCCCCTCTGCCAGCACCTCCTGGCCAATGGTGGGGCTCAAGGGCCATTTTCTAGTACATGGTATAAAACTGCAGAGTAAAGAACAAAAGAGCACCTACAACCACCCTGAGATTGTAAAATGGGAGAAAAGGCTGCAGACCAGGCAGGGTGCCAGTTAAAGGTTTTCTGCTGGGCAGTGTCATGCATTTTTGTGAGGATCCTGGGTCAGATGTCAGGTAGGCTCAAACAGAGCTGGGCATTTGCATTCAAACCAAGCCTCTGCAATGGTTGCTCATTATTGTAGATAAATATCTCAGGGAGGGCTGTGGCCTTCTCACACTGAGAGTCTGACCTGGAAGAGGGGTAAGGAGCAAAGGAAGAAACAAAGTGATGATTTATAAAAAGGTTAAAAAAAAAAAAAAAAGACCTCAGTGACAGGTCTCTCAAATATCCAGATATCTCATAGATATCATCATGAGATATCCAAATATCTCATAGAGCAGGAACTGTCATCCATCTGACCAAGTGTGGAGAAGATGGCTGGCAGAAGCCCAGGTGGCATCCTGACTACACACCACTGAAGAACCTCAAAAGCTTCTAAGCTACTTTTTTATTTTTTCACCCCTCAAAATCCTGCAAGCACTTCTGAAGCTCACAGAGCAAATGAAAAAGCACAGGACATTCCACATACACAATACAATAGGCTAAGTACTTTTGCCATGATTAATTTTCTTTCCAAGGTCTCTGGAGGGGAAACTTTCCCAACAGACCACTTTTGCAGCTGGAAGGCAGAAGGGCTGGGGTCCTGCTTTCCTGGGGAGCCCAGTGCCTCCCTTCCTGCTGCTTCCAGCTCGGAAACCCGGACTCAGTTCACAGCGGGCATTGGAGAGGCTCTGCAGGGGAGCAGAGCTCACTAGCCAGGATGCAAGTTGACCCAGGGCGTCCTGTAGCATCAACCCACTTTGCAGTGAACGCTGCTCCTGCAGGCATCCAGAGCTAGATGCACGGCTGGGTACGCAAAGCTTTTTTAGATATCTACACACACACACAAACACAGGGTCAAACTTTAAATGAATCACTAGATGGGAAGTCTTTTTAATTTTGCTCCCAGCAGGGAACAGGGTGTTGTGAATATGAACAATCACAAATGCATTATTGAAAAATCACAGTACTTGATTCCAATTTCCTTGTGAGAAAGTCTCCCTTGAAAAACCCTGCCATTCTGCTCCAGCAGGTTGTTAGGACAATAGCTTTTATAACCACCACCTCCTCCTTGGGTTAAAAATAAACACCTTCTCCCTCCCAAAACCGTACAAAGTGTTTTTCCATCTCGCTTTTTTTTCCTTCCGTGTGCTGCACCTGGGCTTTGACCTGCCAGCCAGATGCAAACAGCTATAGCATGTCTACTCCTGATTTTATTCATTTATCCCAGTTGAGGAAAGAAAAGTGACCCCCTCTTCCTCTGCTGCAGAGCTCACACCGGTCAGCAGCTTCCAGTTTTCCCCTCCCTAGGCTAGTCTAATTTTCTGTCCATTTTTCCTAGCCTTCATCTTTTCTTGCCTATGCTCCAGTGGGGGGAAGAGACAGGCTCACAGTCCATCTCCTCTGCCCCTCTTTGGCAGGACTAATCAGACTATGCCAAGGAGAGCATCAGAACCAGGGCCAGGCAGGAGGGGACCGCATTGATTCCAAGGTGCAGGTTGTCTCTCCATGGCATTGTCAACTCCAAGATTACCTTCTTCCCGGCTTGGCATGAATACAGCTCTGTCTAACAGCAGTCAGAGCGTGCTGTGAGGCCACTCGGTCTTCAAACCCAACAGTACTCATTATAAAATAACACCAACTTCGACAACGCAGCAGGAGAATCAGACCCTGCCCGTTTCATCCTGCCCTGCATTGTTTTCACAGACATGGCTCACTCTGCCACAAGTATTATCAAATGAGTTGACTAACCAAAAGAAATCATCTCACTCCAAGAGAGTCCAGTATAGTACTGTGTATGTAGGATCACCTGTACCTATACTGTCTGCCTTAGGAGAAGCTCCGTACCTCAGAAGACTTCTCCAACACGGAGGATATTCACAGGAAAGACATGAATATATGCTCTCATTATTTCTGAGTAGCTACTCACATAGATTAAATATAATGAGGAACGCGATACAATTAAACTACCAAACATATATGTCTCCTGTACTATTACAACCTGCAGCCATGTTCAGCTTAGTAATTCAATAGACCTTTTCTAAAAATAACCATCAATGGCCAAAGAGCTGTTCCACATCACAGGTGACTGCTTTTGAAAGAAAGCCCAGTAATGCCTTAACTCCAAAAGCTCTTGCTTTGGTGTACTGAAACAGAAATCTTTCACAACTTACTGTGCTGCAAACATTCCCTGACAGGGGAAGGGAGGGCATCAAGTGATTTGGGGCGTTTTCTGTAAAACCTAAACGCCTTTCTGTTTTACAGAAAACACCATCCAAAGTATCAGCAGCCCTACATGTAAAATCATCAATGAATATGCTGATTCCTTTAGGGATTCTCATTACATTTTGCCAGCATTGCAGATGTGGGAATAGTAAATGAGGGCACCTAAGAAAGTGGAGTCCCTTTAGCTCTGGGTGTCAGCTATCGCCACTGCATCAAGGTTAACATGGTGGGGAGGGAACAAAACCTCTTTATACTGGTTAAAATGAAAAAAAAACCACACCCAAACCCGAGCGTTTAATGCAGCAAAGCTCCACCAAGGAACCCTAAGGACAGAGATCGATAGCTGTTTCTAACATAGGTACTTTTGCTTTTATAAGTAATATCACTTATTTCAAATGAGTACTGAATTAAGGACAAATTTTTGGTAACCTTGAGACCTGCAGGATTTTGTCAGTGCAATCACTGTGAGTTGGATTCCCTTCTTTGCTCCTATGGCAAATACACAGCAGCCAGGGAAACACATGCAGTATCTGGAGAGGAACAGCACAGGGACTGCAACTAGTGCAAACATTCTCAACTTCTCACCAGGCTTGGCCAAGACTTTCCAAGAGGCCCTAAGGAGACACCCACACACCAGGCAGTGCCCAGGGACATGCATGCCTGAGGAAATCCCCAATGTGATTGCACTGCAATCTCAACAAGGAACAAAGAGATGTTTCATTTCATGCACTAAATCCCCTCCTTCCCCACCGCTAGCCCTCTCATTCCCTAGCTAGTATTTCATTAGTGTGAGACATTCCTTCCCTCCTCCCTCCTCCACCCTGGTACTTACTTGCTGAAATTAAAGAGAAGCCGTTCAAAGACAAGGACAGGTCCTGTGCTGCTCAAAATTGTGAGTGGCTGACCAGCAAAAAGGCAAAATATCGCACCAGTGACTGCCGTGCCCAGGAAGCTCTCCAACACGCCCTGTGGTAGACATAGGAGAGAATTGAGTTCTCCTAAATAACCCTTTCTCTTAGCACTGTTGCAAGAAAGTAAGTAGTTACATCAGTGACCAGTCGTGTGCTGTATACCGGTATGTCCAAGACTAAGAGAAGACCATCTCCTGCCCTCTCCTGCAGCTGCACACAAAGATGTGATCAGCCCACACAACTCCTAGTTAGTCAGCATAACCAGTAACCTTCCCTGGTTATTTATGAGGCCCAGACTTGAATAACATCATATTGTACTTTGTATTTCACAAGGGGAAGAGAGTGTTTTCAGATACCACTTAAAGAATTTGAGAACTCCTTGACCACCTCCCACACCTTTGACAGCAAAGATACACATTTGCAGGGCTTTCAAACAGGCACAGCAGAGCACAGCTAGAGGACAGCACTGACATTCTCCAGCACAACAGACGGTGGGTTTGGTTTTTGTTTTTTTTTTCTTTCTCCAATTGAGCAGTCACTCCCCCTAGACAAATAAGATGCCTTTCTTTCAAGTAACTGGTTGAGTAAGGGAGATGCAAACCAAACAAGGCTACTTCATCCAGCAGTCACGTGTTGAGACCCAAGTTCATCAGATGTCACCAGCAACTAATAAATTCCACATTTAACAGGCTCTACAATTACCTTTGACATGTGTGGCATAACAGCTTTGCTGGAGAAGGATTAAAGAGCATGCTTGATGCATTCTTTGATTTTCATGTCCAACTATAGCTGGATGATACCTACTTTTAGAATGTAAAATGTGGATGAAGTATCAATTGCAATAAAATGTGATTATTGACTAAGCATGCTTCCCTCTACAAAAAAGGCAAAATTTGCTGGACCTTACTTCCTTTGCTCTTATGGAAATTAAGCTGTTTACACTTGACTGAGTTTTAAAGGAACAACAAGAGCATCATCACTACTAAGACACGGAGCCACCAGCATCACCCTCTCCAGGAAAACCTACCCCAAAACCAGGGACAGATTTAAGCACAGGCTTGTGAGCTTCATTGTAGCTTCACTTGAATCAGCAGCCTCATTAATACTGCACATGCTCAGCAACCAGCAATTAACGGCATGGGCAGATCCTTCTTTCCATCCGTGACAAACTGCAGGGTTGGGGCTGCAGTTCTTCTGATTTACCAGTGGTAGCATGAAGAATTTAAATTAAGTTTTATGGCTATCCTTCTTGGAAAGACTCAAGTTACTGTTTACACTGAGGAAAGTATATTCATACTGTCATATGTCAAACCAGTATGTTACTATGTAGAGCAGAAGATTTTTCTATATTGACTGAATTATCAGCAGAACTTTCTCTAAAAGCAATCATAAAGGTTTTTCTGGCCACAAACATGATCTCAAAATGCCAGTGATCAAGCACTGTTATCTCTGGGTAATTAAAGTGGAGGCATAACAGCTATGCAGAGAAGCAAAAGGTAAGGAAGGTTTTAAAAGCTGCCTGATCTGACACACGTTCAGTCACTCGTCAGTCTAGACAAGCTGCTGTAGAGTGGACAGAAACAATCTGGCCTCGGCAGAAGGTGACATCCTTGGTCTGATCTGTTTCTAAGTGCTACTGGTGATGCCCATTGCTAGCAGCCCCAGCCCTTGCAGGGATCAGTGTAAGGGACATCTGCGTGCTGTGACACCCTGAAGCTTTCATACAAGGATTGCAAAGGTTTTTACAGGGGACACAGACGAGAGCCTACGAGCCTTTGCTTGCTGCCTTTGGGGGACTTGTGAGGATGAGACAATTGCTCTTGGGGCACAGAACAGTATTCGCACAGCTGATCCCCTTTGCTCCTCCTCCATTACTCATGGAGAGGGCCCTCACAGCCAGCACATCTGGAATCTCTTTTCCCGGCATTCTTCCACGTGTCTGTAGCTAAGAATAGTGTCTTTTCTCAGAAACATAAAACTCTGAAGTGAGCTTTTAAAGAAACGGTGGCTGTGCCAGGCTCTCTGGGGCAGGCAGCACGGGATGGGTGATTTTTAGCGCCTGACCCAGCAGCAGTTATATAATTGTTTACAAGAAACAAGAAGCTTGAACTGTGACACTGTAGCCCCAGAAATACTGTTCTCTATGAGGACAAAATATTGGGGAAAACTAAGAAAACTAGGTGCTGCTCCTCAGCTGTAGAAGCTGGCATAATCTTCCCTTGCATTTCTGAGTATAAAGATTCAGTGCACACTTCCAAACTCCTTCCTGCTGCAGGAACGCACCATAGTTTGAGCAACACTTGACATGAACCTAGATTCTGATCCCACTAAGCAGCTCCCTGGAGACACCACTTGAACCGGGTGCCTTGGGACACTTCACTCTGGCTCTTGATCATACAGGGACGTTTGAGCATGAAGAATGCACAATTTTGTTATTCTGTTGAAAACCTGCCAGCAAAACCCTCTCCAGGCTCCCGCAGAAGCCAACAGACCTAATGCCTTTTCAAACAAGGATGGTGAATACGCGTTTGTAGAAGGCAGATGGCAAAATAAAAGCCAGTTGTGCCCAAAAGCTCCTGAGAAGCAAAGGGACAAAGCATTCAGCAAGACTTGTGTGCTGGTTCCTTCTGCTGCTCTGGGATTTTTTGTCATTAATGGTTATGCTGTGTTTATATTTGCTGCAGAGCTTCCCCATTACCAAAGTGGTATTGCTGACCTGCAGAGCATCAATGGTTTCCCTTTTCAACATGGAGAATAAATCACTGACCTCAAAGCAGACTGTTCCCACAGCTTTTGTCTTTCTAGGGACTTTTTTTTTCTGCAAGCAATAGGAAAACTCAGACTGGGTTTTATCTACTGCAGAGAAAACTACAGACTAACCTGTTTTTTATCTTCCTTCTGTCTTTCCACCCCATTGTGGCTCCCCTCCTATGCAGCTGACAGTCTTGGACATACTTTGGCAAAATGAGACTGTCACATTTTGGGTTTTTATTGTGAGCATTAAGGAACTAAACTGTCAGTTTCAGTGGTAAAATATATTTTGCTACTTGTTAATAAATGTTTATGGGATACAAAGGTAAGAGAAAAGACTTTTGGACAAAGTAAAGTTATTATGTGCGCTAAATTTGGAATTGGGTAACATTTCCCTTTCCTCCCCCTACTTTAAAGACTGTACCTCGTACAGACACAGACAAAGCTAGCTGTGCTACTCAGTCACAGAAGAGTGATGCTCACTGGTGGATCCTGGAGGCCTTTCCATTCTCTGCTTCCATTTTCTAGTATTTCTTTTCAATGTTGTACATCATGCATTTGTTTGAAGACTGCTACAGAGCTGAGTTTTGGAAGAGGTAAACTGTATTTCTACAGGGGAAAGTTTGGCACTCCGCCAGCTACAGAATCTTACTCTAGCCTGTAATTTACCATGGGGAGGCACAGAGCTCCAGATAGGTGCCCCGTTTTTCTATGGTTTATTTAATTAAACCTGCATAAATTCAGTCATTGTCACTATGTGCTTAATTATTGTTAGGAGACTGAACGTGGCTGCACTGAATCTATCTAAATACTACCTCCTATACTTTCTTCCTCTTCAAAAAGCCAAAGGATCACTAAAGTGCATGGCTAGAGCGTAGTTCTGCTCCAGTCAAACATGAAGGACCTACAGCAGTGTTAATACAGAATTCCTTTCTTTTAGACTTCATCTAAAACCGAGTCCTCCTTTGAAGCCCCTGCTTTTGCCTTCACTGCTGACCCAGCCTGTCTCTGGATATGCAATATGATCCTCAGGATCTGATCTCCTACTATTACAAAATTTGTCTTTCTAAAGAACTCACATTTTTCTTCTGTGTCACACTCTCCTGACTTACTTGCCTTCCTATGAACCGTAAGGTTTTCTTTTCACCACGGAGGCAGAAGTCCAAGGATTGTAAGAGTCATGCAGAGGCTTCAGTGCTATGCTCTGATGACACGGAAAGTCTGAATCAGACTTAGTAAACTTAATTTGACTGAGATGGTACAACTGAGACACAAACACAGAAAAATAGATCAGAGGAACTTCTCTACAAAGAAGGAGTAAGAACCTTCTCTGTCACCTGGCCATCTTTCAAACACCATTTAAGGGAACCTCTTGTACAATTTTTCAGAGGACAGCCATTCAAGAGCAGACAAAGCAAGCCAACTTTCAGTGAAAACACAGGATATCTCTATTAACCGCATCCAGCATTCAAGCTTTGTCAGTGGCCAACCCCGCCCCTGACTGTACTTGTTGCTTCTGAAAGCTCTTGCTAACCTGCATGTTTTCTGTAGCGTCACCAAGCAGTCCTCCAAAAGTGATAGCGTTGGTCACTGTGGCCAGGTAGATGAAAAGAATGGCTGAAAGGGCTTGAATATTTAAAGCATCATAGAAGTCACTGGCAAAGAACGGTGCTTTCCTCTTTATGTCTTTGATTAAGCCACCACAGAATCTGAAAAGACAAGCAAGAGAAGACTTGCGCAAAATGTTTTACAGTGAAAGTCACCAAGATAAGCAATCAGAAACATTGCCAGAAATGAAGTATTATCTGAAAGGAATGAGATCATCACATTACATAATAGCCTTACTGCAGCTGTGATAGTCCAGGGGTACCACGGAGATAACGTTGTAAAGAAAGATAGTATCTTGAACGTGTGATGCAGCTGGAAAAAGACAAATTTCAGGAACACAAGTCCTGCTTCTGATGAAACAGACCACTAAAGTTTGCAGTTCAGGAAGCATGTCTGTTGTTTTTTTCCCCAACTATATTGGTTGATGTAATAAAATATATTAACTCTAGTCTAAATCCCTGCCTAAATATCTCCACATGGCAGACACAATGGTTGGGTGAGCCAAACAATCTGCTAAACGGAAAAATGCTTCAAACTGCTAACCAGAAAAAGAACTAGAAGTAAAAACGCAAGTAAGTGAAATCATCTTGGAGAACAAGAGAGCTCCGCTTGCAGACACAGTCTTTTGCAATCACAGACAAGACAGTATCTAACTTATAAACTCCATGTGGCTCTGACCTCTGACACTGCCAGCATGAAAAATATTTCTGGTTTGTCTCTTGTTCCCTTGTACGCAGTTCACCACCAACGTCAGGACTGTTCAAACACTTTGTAAGCGGAGAAGTACATGGTAGATGGGTACATGCTACTTTCTAACCCAGAATCAGAATATATCGACTGCCTTGTCCACACCAATGTGTAATTTCAGACTTTCAGACTTTTCGCCTAGAATTTAGATACTCTACTAGAACTTAAAAAAAATACAGAGTGGGAGAGAGGGCAAAACATCACCACAGAAACCTGTGTATTGACCCTGAAATGCTGAGCACATTGTTTTATGGCCACCTAAACTGCATTCCCAGTCTACTGGTCTTTTATGTGGCATACAGGCAGAGTAATAAAGCAGAGAGTATGGCCTCAGGCTCTGTTACCTTCTGTGTTCCTGTCCCATAAAAGCCTTCACCTGTGCAACTCAACTACAACAGGAATGTCTGGAAAAGGGAACATTGCTGCTTCTGGTTGAAGTACTTTCAGCAATCCAAATGGAAACTGTAGCTGCACCTGCCATGTTTACATCACTCACAATTTGTCTAACTTCACAGACTTTCAATAGCCAACACCTACCTGAGCTTTCTTTCATTTTTTATTACCTCATCTAAGATGCTTGGTAATTTACAGAGGCTGGATGTTCAGAACCCTTTAGACAGTCCCAAGCTGGGCACTAAAAACGCCAGGGCATGTTCTGGGGGTCACAGCTCAACCTATACAAACAGTATGTCAGGACGGAAAGCAGAAGGAATGAAAAGCTCTGCAAGAACAACATTGCCACCTTGCTTGGATATTACTGACCTGCCAGTTCGTTGCAGTTCTTCACAGTCCCCATGGCCCCCGCTGCCGTGTCCTCCATCATGAGGCGTGTCGCCATTCATCTGTAGATTTTCTCCACCAGAGTACATGTTTTTCCTAGGCAAGAAGGAAAGTCAAACTGAGGCTCATTGCATTGCCTGACGGCTCCACAAAGCATAATCCACACACAGTTCTTCCAAACAAGCATTACACAGCCTTTCCTGAAGCCATGTTGTACAAAGGGGATGAGAAGGCTGACCTGCTGGCAGCCAAAGTGCAATGTCAGGTGTTAGAAAGACCAAGCAGAATCTTAAAGAGTCTGGATAACCACTATGTATGTTATTATATGCTTACATCATCATCTTAAAGGTTGCAGAATTGCAAGAACATCATCCCTCCAGCTATTAAGACCTGAAAATATCTCTAGTACTTTCGAAATACAGACAGAGGCAGGTCATTCTGCAGTTGCTCAATAAACCTGGTGTACCCAAAGCACTGGCTCTTCCCATCACCTTTTCAGAATTGATGCACACCATCCTTCATCACAGAGCTAAACCTGCCTGGCTCTGGCTACTACCTTTTATCTGAAGAAGGAAGAGACTTGGGGGGCTCTATCCTAATGGCTGGATCCCATTCCCCAGGGGGGAGCACAATGACTTCATCCAGAAACTCATCAATGCCAGCAATCAGGTCCTGCCGGTCCTTGGCTTTATAGGCAATGTCGTGGAATACCTGCAAGGAAAAGAGACTCCATGTATAAGAATAGAGATTCTCTCTTGCAGGCATATTTCTAATTTTTAACAAAACATACATTTCCAACATTTTAAAAAGTGTTACTACAGCAATTATCAATTTCTTTTATCCAAAAAATGTTTTCCTATAAATAAGGAGTTTCAATTATACTGTGAACAGTTTTACAAAGCCACAAAAAAGTGTTGATCCTTTTTTCCTACCTACTTCAGTCTATCAAAAAATAGGTTAGTCTTCAACCCTGTGATAAAGAAATGATGACAATATTTACTCAAAAATAGTAACAAGAAGGACAAACTAGTTTTATTGGAAGGCCTAGTATTACTGGTAAAGAGCAAATGAGAGAAGAGGGAAAACGAGCATTAATGCTGAATTTTACAGAAATCTTTTGGACTACTTGGGATGAAGGTGGATCACCACATGTGATATACTTAGTAAGAACAGTTGGTGGTAGGAAGGATGATTCTGGGGCTATTTTGCTCCAAGCAGTGGAATGACAGAAAACAGAAGAGCTGAGACCAGGCGAGCAGTAATTAAGGGAATCATAGGAGAGCAAAATAACATAAGAAGAAAGCAAACAACAAACATAATGTAAATGAGCCCCAGATGCAGAGAGCCCAGGGGATGCTGGAAGAAAGAAGCCATAAATGAATATTGAAAGCCCAGTCATCTCATTGAAATGTATGATTAGCGAGTAATTGCTAGCTACTCAAGCACAATACATAAGCACTGCCCGAATGAAGTAGTGCTCTGGGATACAGCTCAATACAGGACAGTATGGCCTGGGTGCAACGATTTCTGTGGTAATTACCTGAAGCATAGTTTCAGACTACTGTGAACATGCAATGTGACACAAGGCACGCACCACAACAAGATTAATGCAAAGATAAACTCACAGTCCATTTGAAAGAGTGATTGCTAGCAGGAAAATACACACGATGGACAAAAACTGCCTATAGTCATGCTTTCATAAAAACATGAAGCCAGATTAAATAATTATGTAAATTAAGGGATTAGAAGGTGACTTTTGTCTATTTCAGCTTTATGTGCATCCCACCCATGTACCCATTCCAGTCAACCACGCTGGAAGAAAGGACATCGTTATTAGCTAACAAAGTGAAACCTGGGAGAACCCATTTTGCACAGGACATGTTAAGACACCTACCTCATCTGACATTAGAGTGGCAATGGCTCGGCCAATCTCATGGTAGGACTTTGCTTTGCCCTTCGGTCCAAGTAGAATGAAGAGAAATCTGACAAAACAAACAGATCACTCCCATTTAGGACAACAAAATGGATCATTTATTACTTACACAATATCTAGACAGAAATTCAACCTCAAGAAGCTGTGGCCTTATTTAAGAGATCCAGAGGCTACTAGTGCCCTCCAGCTAACCTGGGAGTAGAGGTTACACCCTGCAGCCCATCATGCTTATTCAGACAACAAAGACACTGCCCAGACTTTTTCTCCCAAAAAGCCTTGAAAGTAGCCTTGAGACCACGACATCCAAATACTATCACAGTCCTCCTCAGAAGTCGCTACCATCCTACCAACCTAGACTTCAGAATGAGGTGAAGGAAGGACATTCTCTCAATGCCCAGTACCTGGAAGTGAACTATGCATGATGGATACGGCTCCAGCACAGAGCAGTTGACACTCCATGCCCTGTGCACTGCAGAAAGCCATGGTGATTTAATTGATCATATGTTACAGCTCCTTGTAGCTATTCAATACTTATATAAGGTATCTGTTTTAAATGTTTCCCTAGTACTATTCCAGTGCCATTTACGTGACAATAGCAGTGATGTAACTGCTGCTAGAGAGCCAGGAGGGGACAGAAGATTTAAGGATTGCTCATTCTGGGCAGTGACACACCTGAGCACACTCTGCACACAGGACAGACCAAGTGTGGCCAGCACAGAAGTGAGCACAGAGGTAAGAGGGAAGATGCTATTAACTATTCACATTGCTCATTGTCAACTACATCACTTCCCTGAGCTACCAGATAGCACTTATTAATGCTCTGCTGGGGCCAAGATCTCTGTTACAGTTCAGCACCCAGAGTAGCTACTCACATGTGAAGAGAAACCATTAAGCTAAAATAGGGCTTTAGGTATAAATAATTAAGCCCAACTTGTATGCCCTGAATTTCTGCTCCAAGTATACAACACGTACCAGACCTGTAAGCCCATCTGATGGCTTCATAGTCACAGCTTAATTCTTAAGCAGACAATTTAAGCTGTAAACCTAATCCTATGATAGGCACCATCAGCAAGGGTGACTACCTCTACAAGGTATTGAGAGTTCATTTCCTACATGATCTCTTTGGGCAGCAACTAGATCCAAGTCACTGCTAATAAAAAACACCATGATATGAAATCTTTGGAGACAGGAAATTACTGCTCTTTATCTTTCCTGCCCTTGCTTTTGTCAGTGCTAACATGCTATGAATCAGGACTTGCCTACGTGACAGTATGTTCTAATTAGATTCCTTGATGGAAAAGGCTATACAGGGAAAATGGCTGCTCTGCCAATAAAACTGTCTTGCAGTTGTGCCAGAGTAACAGGAATGCTGGTGAAAGGTGGCTGGGTTTTCCAACCTCTTAACAGACACTCAGAAAAAGTATGAAGTACAGCCTCAAGGTTGGATCTTCAAATGTACCTAGATCCTCCTGGACTGGAATTTTTAAAAAAAAAAAAGATAGCCCCATTCAAATAATACTCGTTCAAGAAAGACCTAAGCCTTATCTTAGACACTCCCAATTCTTAAACTAAGTTTCATAAGCAAGGCCAAGGTATCAATGCAGAAACGATAAAAGCCATTACCTCCTGTAGAAATACTCTAAAGTTGATTTCATGCTGTAGACAGGTGCCAAGCTGGCAGCTCCTTACTCACACAGCATCTATGGCCTTGGCTCTAGAAATACAAGCTTCCTACAAATCCCCTGTTCAGATTTGTCCCAGGAAAAAAAAAAAGATTTGATTCATGGCTATGTCATGAAAATACATCTGTCTTCATTCTCATCTCTTCACCTTGGTTTGTTAAGGAAGCCCTGTTACTTCTATTGGCCACCTCGCACAATGGCCAATATTTGGTGGCCTGTGGATTTCAGTGGAGACCATCGTGCTGGTCAGACAGTGTCATTTTGTGCATTCAGCCTGAGCTGGACTCTAAGTAGTGATCTTGAGATAAAAGTCTTTCTCTCCCATCAACTCATCCTTGCAATTAGCAACAAAAGAAGCCACATGGCAAGAGACCAACTTCTCCATTTCACCTAATTTAGCAAAGAATGGGAATTACTGGGGCAATTTTCAGCAAACTCCCTATCAGCATGTGTTTCAAACAGAAACACTAAAAGCTGCTCAAAACAACTTTAAAGCTTCCTGAATTAAGCATTTTTCCAATTACAGCCATACCTTTCAATCAGTAATGGAAAATAAACACACTATAACCTTTGGTAACTTGTCTTATCTAAAACCTTTTGCATTACTTCCAGTGTGAATTTGGGTTAGCTTCAACTTCCAGACATAAATTTCAAATGTCTCTCATAGCTAGACTGAAGAACCCTCAATAATTAAATTCCTTTAAATATCCTCCCCTATCGATCCAGTCACTCGTAGCCACCTGTCAGTAAGGCTAAGCCATTTGAGGCTTTTCTCCTCTCTTTCATCACTTCAACGGCTCTTCTGTGATCTTTCTCCAGTGCATCAGTGTCTTCCTCAGGGAAATCATCCAAGAGCTGGTGGTTTTGTCAGTGCAAATATATAGATTAAATAACCTGTGTTTACTCAGGAACATCATGTGAGCCTGCTTTCCTGAGGAAAATGAAGTTAGGAACAGCGAGTCAGGGGACAGGACAAGCATGGGAAGCCTTAGGAAACCTGATAGGATGATGGGGAGAGATGGGATTATTGCCATGGTGGAGGGAAAGAACATGGTACATACTTCTAGGAAACCAGGCTTTAGCAGTTCCAGCACTGTCAGAATGATCTGCTATATCCAGGGATCACCCCAGCATCACCCACAGAAAAGTATGACTCAGAGCACAGTTCTTTCACCAGTGATCTCTGTGCCTTGAGAGAGAAGCTGACATGGGGGCAAGTTAAAGCACAGATGACTGTATTGGTCTGGGACATGGAGACACCCTCTTCCTTATTTGTCAGCCTTTGATATATTAACTATACATTTTCTCAAATGCTGCTGACAGAATGTGAGACACAACAGGGTTGAGAGGTGTGACACATCACCAGAAGTAGTCCTTCCCTTACAAGCACTGTATTAAGTATTATTTGAGCTTCCTAAATCAAAATATCATGAGGTACTAAGTCAAATATAAGATACATTATATCCAAACAAGTACTTTCTATTCTAAAAAGTCTAGAGTCCTATTAAAAAAAAGGCATCAAGTTAGTAGAACAGGATCAATAAATACATCTTAATTGACATTACAGTAACGCTTCCTAATCGAGTTCTTCCTAAGGCTTTCAAGTGTTTTAAGGTTCACAGGGAGGTGACTAAGGCATACACACCTAGGTCATGTCCTCTGCCCTCCTCCTACCTCCTGAAAATTTCCCTGTGTTTCATGAATTATTATAAAACAACATTAAAGACAAACTGGTCTTCAACCAACCCTTTTAAAACTCTAGGATGCAAATTACCCACATAATTTAAGAAAAAGGTTCATAACTTAAGAAGTTGCTGCTCGGCATTCTCCTGATTTTCCAGGGGAATGAGAGATTTTCATAACCATCTTTTGAAATAATAACATCAGCTGGCTCTTTTCCAATGCATAACAGAAGTACCTGAATGCTCTTGCACTTACTAAAACGTTCTTGAAAACAAGCAGTTTGTGACACTTTCTAAATTCTTTGTCCTGATTGATTCAGCTCAGAATTGCCTTCAGCATGTGTAAGACGACCTTTTAAAGGGCCAAATATTATAAACACAAACCCATTAATGCATTTTAGTGGTTTGGACTAGACTATGTTTGCATGCATTTATTATCTTTTAGTTATGAATACTTCCACCCAAGAAAGCCCTCACTTCCAGTGGTGACATACTCTTCCTCTTCATCTGCCAAGATTCAGGCCAGAACAGAATTCCTCCCTGTGCACACAACACATGCGGAGTTACCCAACGCACATTTCTTATACATAACATTGCTAAAGATGCTTCAAGGCAGAGAATGTGAGGTTTCACCTTGCATCACTTAGCTCAAAGTCGCTCTGAAGTAGTAACAAAATTCAATGTTCCTCTCAAATGCTTACAGACAGGGCTGACAGCCCTCATACCCAGGACACTCAGCACAGTCAAAGCATCCAAAATCTTTTGCTTCCAAGCTGATAACAAGCCAGAAACTCAGTAATTTATTACTCTTTTACCTAAAGCACTGTTCCATCATTTTTGCGCGCTTTATCCTTCTTAAGCAGATGATGACCACCGACTGTGTATGATTCACCTTCTAATCACATGGACTATGCCACCAAACCCAACATGAAAAGATTCATTCTCACAGATGAGTAATTCCAATTCAAAATGGACAAACATGTCCTGTCAATACATGGTAGACCCAGTCAATGAACCTAGAAGATCTAAATGGGGCACCACAGCAATACTGTGCACAAGCCTAGGAACTTGGGGTTATGGACCTAATAATCTGCTAGGAGCAAACACAACCCTCCTGGACCTTGGTGGGAGGTGACACCAAAGACTCCGGGGCATAATTTCAATCTAGTTTGCCCAAGAAGGCAACAAGGTTTTATGTGCTGTGCTTCTGAGAAATCTGGCTAAAAATCTCCATGAAATCACATGCAGAGCACACTTAGGAGGTGGGAAGTGAATACAACATGGACAGGCTCCAAAGTCAGTGCAGCATGAGCATTTTGCCATCCATCTGGGACATCCTGCAAGAAATTCGTAATGCCCATGACTATCAAGTTCCCTTACAGGGTAAGGGTCATGGTGAAAAGTGTCCCAGGACCAAGCATCACCATGGCCTCTTTGCAAGGTGACCATCAGTGCAGGAAACAAGGTCATTCCGTGTCCTGCCCCTGAAATAAAAAAAGAGGAACAGCAACTACAAGGAGATTCAAGTTCAGCCTGCTTGTCCATGCCTCTCTCTAATCTGAAACAAGAGCAACAACTCCATAATGGTTAAAGGCACCTACACAAAGGACTCTCAGTAAGGTTCTGAAGAAAATGTTTTTATTTTTGAGAGAGACGGGGGGGGGGGGGGACATTTCATCCTCACATATGAAGAAGAAAAGATGCCTCTGCAGTTAAAAGCTTACATTAGGAGGCAAGGGAGGAGAACCTGACTCCTGGTTCTGCCACATGCTTCTTAAGTGACCTTTGGGCAAGTTACTTCATTTCATTTGAGACTTGTAGACACAGGCAATTTCCCAGCACTACATGTTAGACTGTGCAAGTCTATACAGCTTATCTCCAAAAAAATCTTTCCCTAGCTCATTCTTCATCTTTTCTCCCCACCAACTTTACATTAATGCAGCATACCTAAACACATGTTTGCACATTTCTTTTATGAAAATAAAAAGTTACCTCTATTGCATTGTCCAGAGGAGAAGCAGCCATACCCAAGCCATGCTGCAAGCACAGTAGCTAAGCTTGACAAAATGAGGAGTTCATAGCACTGTGGAATTAAATTCAACACAAGAAAACCAAAGTCCTAAAAGGTTTTTTCAGTCTGAACGGTAAAAAGAAAATGCAACACAAATGCTGGGATCTCTCTATACCCATTTCAGATCCCTGATTCTTATTACTAATGCTGTATGAAAACACCCTGCTGAGAAACTTTTCTTACAGAGTTTATCAGATATTTCTGCTTTCTTTTAAGAAAAAATTTAAGTAAAGGAAAGTGCATATCACCAAGGGAATAAATGGCCATAAAAAGGCTACTTCCCCTCTGTGTTAGAGACCAGCATGCCCACAGACCTTTGCTGAAACCTGGGTGTTTCACTCCCAGCCTGCCCCACATAGAAACAACCTGCTGCTTTCAAAAGAGAGGGAGACAGAAGCAGGTCATGCTGCAGTTACTTGATAGACCTGGGTCACCATGGATAGCTGAGACTCGGCGCTGGCCAAGGAGACGCCCCATCATAGCTTGCCTGGGCCCTGATGGGATTTCCGTGATTGAATTTCACAGGATGCAGCCGTTGGAAATAGCTCTTCATTACTCACGAAAGCCATCTAATGAGCCTCCCTGCTTTGATTAGGGCTAGCATTTGGTTTGGAGGACAGCAAATGGATAATACTATTTCCTGGAAAAAAATGTTGGCATGGAAGAACATATTGTCTTGATTAATGCTATTGAGTAATGAGGTCATTCAACAATCCTAGATGTAACTTCCTGGCTCCCACTACCAAAACAAACAATACTTAATTTTGTATCTGCTGAAAAGCATTCAAAGTCTTTAAATAAAAGAGTTAAGTGGGATTAGACTTGGAAACTGAAATACTGAAGTATATAGAGCTCAGTAATACTGAGGAATGAAGAATAACCTTTTATAAAATTAAGCCAGTTTTATCTCCCCATACTCCTACCAGAACACCCAGCACGTGCAAACAGTTGTTGACACGGTTATTGTAAGGAGTTACTTCATGAAAATCCAAGAAATACAAACACTGCTGCATTACTAGAAGGCAATTAAACAAATAACAAAACTAGATCATTTTTTTCCTTTGATGTGTACAGGGAAATAAGGTGCAGATTGTAACAACCATATATTTTCATTCCATACAATGGCTGTGATTCATTACAGTATCAGTAATGCACTAGCCTTGTGCTTTTGTTGTGATACTGTGTCTCTTCTCACAAAATATTGATACAGACTCAAACCCTCTAGGCATTAATCAAATCACAACTTTTACTGTGTATTGAAAGCCCTTGAAACCATCCACATAAAATATGTATTTGCACATTAGTGATGTGAAAGGTGCAATTTAAACTCCCAAATTAGAAGCAAAATGCAAAGTAAAGGCTTTGGAAGCCGACACCAAAAACATGACAGAGCCCAGGCGTGCAGCAGTGCCAAGGAACAAGGCACTGCCGAGACAAACAGGGACACTGCAAACCAGCTGCAGACTGTCCCCTGGGCCCCTCCTGTCCCTCTCTCTGTGCTCCATTCTTAGGGAGCTGCATTACCTTTTCATACTAACCATTTTTACAGTTCTCACTTCACGGGGGTGTTTGTGTATACATGAAGCAAAGATACACTACTCCATAATGCTCACACACAGCAGATGTGCTGGACATCTATACTGATAATTTTTCTCTACTACATTACATCATAAACAAGATGCATTTATATAACTAAGGGTAATACTGCTGAAAATTCAAACAGGACTTTAGCTTTGCTATTCTGCTAGATATAGACACTCACTGTACGGATAGCTACACATATTCAAATATTTAAGAACATAAGATATTCATATTTGTGAGACATTAATTTGCAACATGAGTCACAATTAATAAAATATTTACATGACATTTTTCTCTGAACCATTATGCATTACAAAGCAACATATAGTGTGACCACCCCAACAGAATTGTATGCCCCAGTTTACCTGACTTTTTTTTTTTCCCCAGCAGGGCCAGAATTGCATCCTTCATCTAATGTAAGTTTTAAAGAGGAAGAACATGTACTGTAAAAACATGCAGAGGGAATCTGAGCTATGTTCAGCGTGTGTTGGGGAGGAATCATAAGGGGCAGGAAAAAAAGGCCCCGTAGCTAAATTTCACACTGATAATGCCCTTTAATGCTAAGTTGTTAAGTTAGTGTGTTTGTGTAATGTCTGTGTGTTTTACAGTTTATATCTTACAACCAAATTCAGGACCTGACAATTATTAAGCAGCTACAGTGAGTTTTGTACTTCAAATCACTAATACCAACAGTTATGCATGTCACATGATGGAAAGCAATGAAGAATGCCTTCTTCTGGCCTGGTGATTTTATTTTATAAAGTGGAAATGCAGTTTCCAATTTCTTTCCCCTGGCCAGGGGCTGAATTCTCTTACCGGGTAGGTACAGGGACTTCAGTCAGAGCACCCAACATGACCGCCTGCTGCAGCCGGACGAAGGCAATGAAAGGACTCTCCAGGAAGTCTACCTCCCCCACCAGCACATTGGAGGCCTCAGCATCACGGGGCAATTTCTTCATGAATTTATTCTTCAGCTGCAGCAGGGAAAGAGGAAGGAAAAGAAAATTAAGACTCGTTACGCAGGCAAACAGGAACGTGCAATCTTATTTACGCAGTTTTCATCCAGATTTCCTCCTTGGTCAGCATATATCTTTGGCTGCCTCTGTTTGTGTTTAAAGACCTGAGATGGTGTTATTTCATGGAGAAAAAGGTGTGCAGCACTGAGGAAGATAAGTAGACGTGGGCAGGGTTTCAGGAACCACTACCCCACCTCGCTGCCCGGTCATCCAAATGATGGGGAAGGACAGGCACATTTTAGTAGTGGAAGTGAAACTCTACGATCTGCAGTCACTGCTACAGAAAAGACTGGCCTGAGGAAAACTAACCCTGAACAATGGACTCCAGGAGCTGTGTACCTGCATTTCACTGTGTATGTGTCTTTTCAAGTTTCCAGAAAAAGACTAAGCTTAGTACAGGCTTTTAGGAGTATGTTTCCTAGCCTGTGGCTTCTCCCTTAATCTAAAATTTGCTTGAGGTGGTCCAAAGCCATTATTACCATTGCCTGTGCAGGCCAGCACATGAGTAGTCATTGGGCAAAAATAGTAAGCATCCTGGTTTTGAAACTACCCTAATGGTCTCAATAACTGTCCAGGTGAGAGACTGGCTCATTACTGCTTCCACCATCACTGAGCCCTCAGCCCTCCCGCAGGCTGCTGCCCACAAAGCACAGAGTAGAGCATGGCTGAAGTGGGACAGAGGAACATGTCACATCATTAAAGACATTTTGCCCAGGAGAAACCCCCTTCTCAATCCTTCTACATAATGATGCTGGATGGCTACTACATCCCTCACCTCCCAAAGATCTGAAGGAAGAGAAAGCCTTGTGAAGAAGTAAAGTGAGAAGGGGCATCCATGAAGATGAGATAAATCAGAGAGGGTTTCCAAAGAAAATAAAAGCACCATTGCCTGGACAGAGAAACCAAGGTGGGAGTTGGGGGAAGATGAGGAAGAAGGTTGTTGTGAGCAGCACACTGGGCCACTGCATGGGTCCTGAGCCAGGATGGGTTGGGTGACACAGTGAACCCCCTCCAGATGCTCACTGTGGGGAATCTGTGTTAACTCTTCCCCTCCTGACGAGGCTCCAAGCACTCTGCTAGCCCCAGCACAAATACCAAGCAAGAGAAGGGTGTATGTTTCTATTTGTATCTATACCAAATGCAACTAGTTACTTTGAAGCACAATCATATCTACCCTTAATGAATTTCTGTAATTTGTACAACAGCAACACAGTTATGCAAGTAGAAATTGAGGGTAAGGGCATTTTTTAAAAAATGGTCAACAAGCAGGCAGGTAGCAATAATTGCCTGTCTTCATCCTTTACTCTGACAGCACACAGAAATTCCACCCTCCATCAAATACCTGTAAAACCCCACCACCAAATGGCAGCTAACACGGTTGCTAGTTACTGTGTAGCTAAAAGACCTCTCATGTTTCCAGTATCAATTAAACAACTATATAATCAAGCTTTATAATCAAGTTACTGCAGCTGATGTTTTACCCTGCCACAGGGAACTCCTACGGTGATCCCAACTGTCCTCTATTACGTTAATATCTTTCTGTCAGAGAGAGATTTTAAGAACCTCACACTGAAGTTTTAAGTAAATGAACTGCTATCATCTGGAGTACATACATATATATCACTCTGCCTGATCTATTGAAAAATCATTGTAGCCCCATGGCAAAGAAATCCACTTCAGCAGATCTACCTCAAACACACAGCAGCTCCCACTGCAGTCTGGCTCCACAAGCTCTCAGAAGCCCCAAAGCACACACTGACTGACGGTTTTAATATTTATGAACTAGAATACCTTAAACGCACAAGAAAAAAAAAAACCAAAACAACATGTATGGTAATTTCCCAACATAACCTTTGTAGCTTTAAACTGATGCTGCCAACTGTTAATTACTTGATAACGTATCCCTTGGAAGAAAGAGCAAATGATAAAATGCTCAGATGCACAAGTTTTAGGGACACACTCAGCAAAACCTGTTACAGAAATCTGATGCTCATTAATGGAGAGCTCTGTAACAAGACTTTGCTGAGCCAGCGATTGTCTGGGGGGCTGACAAAACCACTTCAGTATCTTCCCTTAACAGGTACAGGACCCACTGCTGCAGAGGTGCACCAGAGGAGGGTCAAGGGTGCTGTCAGAAGAAAGGTGAGATGCCCAGTGGCAGAGGAGGATGCTGCTCCTCAGCTCCCCTTTTCTAGGCAGCATGTTGGGGATTTTTTCCCCAAGCACCTCTAAGAGACACAAAATGACCCGCTCTGTCAGGCTGCTAAAGCAAAATTCATCAAAACAGCCTTCGCTACACTCACAGGAAGCTTTTCTCTCATGACCAGTCTGTCCTCTGATTTTCCTGAAAGAGTTGTGTTCAGAAGCAAAAAAAGAGCAAACTCTAAGAAACCTGCTGATACTTTGAAATAGAGTTTGGGGGTTTTTCCCCCTTATCTTTAGGACTAAGATACAATGTGGTGCTATGGCAGCAGCAAGGCCCCATTGTGCTGCTGAGCTGTGTGTGGTACAAGGATAAAAACATAAAGACGTCTAACTCTTTTGTTGAAGAGGTAGAGATACCTCCTGGGAAAATGAACCAAACCAGCTGGCAGGCTTGCTCTGATCAGCTGCTTATCCCTAAAGGTTTAGGTTATCCTTGTTAAGGATGGTGAAGGAGAAAAGAAAATCAAAATCATTGCTGGAAATGGACAGATTCTTCTGAAGTGCACCCATGTACAGAGAGATGTCAGTATATGAAGAACTCAAGCATTTCAACAAATATTTTCTAGCTAAAGAAATTCAACTAGGACACCAAAATTTCTTTCTGATTACTCTAGTAATCTGATTTCCTTACCAACCCAGATTATTCTAACATGTCCCATGATGCCTTTCTAGCCTTATTCTCTCTGTACTCTGATGATCTTTGACTGCTCCTTTCTCCTCAGTAACATAAGCCTGCAATGTTATCTGAGCTTTTTTAGGGTTGGTGGTGCTTTTTCCAGTGTTCTTTCACTCTCTTCCTACATTTCTGCCTTCTTCATTAACAGTGACAACAGCTACGCTGGAAACACGACAAAGGGAGCTGGTGAAGCCACCACAAGCATACACTAGTGCAATTGCACTGCTCATCTTCAGGTTTTCTCATACTTAAGATCTAGATTTTAGTCTAGTGTAAAACCAACACAACTTGATTTTTTTTACTTTAAAAAAAAGGTCCTATCTCAAAGCAAAACAATGTAGTTATTTATCATATTGTATAATTTAAAAAAAAAATTAAGTATTCAGTAGAATTTCCTATCAATTTTTGCTGCCTGATGAATATATGAAAAGCACATGGGAATACACATATTTTTTGACATATTTGGAGTTTAACTCTTCATTCATGGCAAGCCCACTCTTATTTGTGGCTCTAAACATGTATGCATGGCCTCTCCTGCCTCCTCTAACACCATTACACATGGACTGCCAAGTGTTACACCCAAAACAGTGTCACCTAAGGCAGCCTGTCACTGCAGAGTGGAAATAAGTTTTGTCCATTTCGTCTAGAGAGAGCTACCCCAGTTCCTGAATCAGGATATGCATTTTCTGACTTGAAAAGGGAGACCATAGAGAGCAAGACATTCTGCTACTGACACCTTGGGTCTTTCTGAGGGCTGTCTGCTTGCAGCACAAGCGATGGGAAATCCTCAAGTCTGGGAGCAGCACCAGAGGAGCTGACATAAGGTGAATCCACCAGCAAGGAAAGCAGCACTGGGACTCCAGTTACAATATAAGCAGTGCTTCTAAAAATGCAGCAAAGCATCTATCTGTTGTGTTACTGAACAGCAGTGCTCAAAACTACAGGAAAGTGAGCTTCAAAGATGACTTATAAAGCTGTATTTATACATTTCCAGTAATCCTTCCCAGGGCATACAAATGATATCTGAGGTGTAACTCTGTGCTTAGCACCATTAAACCAGAGTGTCGGAAGAAATCTACTGACCAGCATCATTCTCATCAGCCAACTGCAAGGCTTACTCTCATTTATATGTCTTTTCCCCGAGCATAGCTATAGCTTCATGCTAAAAATAGTTCCTTACAGCCTGAAGGTTATTCTTCTCATCTCTGCACTTATGTACTGTAATGGTACCACAGCAGACATGAGCGGGTCCACAGGGCTCTGCAACATGCATCCACTAGCTGACAAAATATTAACTAAGCCCAGCTATGGAGAAAAGTCATCATCTGCTTCTGATTTAATAATGGGACAACACTGCAGCAGCAGCAGCTGAATTTTAAAAATCAGCCTCTCCTGGCTCTTTTCTGGTATCTTTCTGGCACTGGAAATCTCTTTAGCCTGGCACCAGATTGCCTTTCTTCTAGGTTATTAAATTATAGCTCAATCAAGCCTGCTGCAGTAGTGCTGCTCTTACCCCCCTTCTGCCTTCTCCACAGCACCAGCAAAGCTCCTGCGGCCTTGGCCACATTGGTGAGGGGCACCACTGCTCCCATCTTAGATGTACCCCTCTGCCTTAGCACTCAGGCTGTGTCTTTGAAGACAGAGGAGAATTTCCGGGCATTCTCAGATCTGAGATGGCTTTTGTTTCTAACTTCAGCTGTGGCAGAATTCATGTGAAGTGGAAGGCTTTTGAAAAATCCTGCCCTTGGTTCGTTCTCAACTCACCACCCCCCATCCTCAATGATCTTTGGAGATGCTCTGTGTTTGTCTGGCTGAGGGTGAATGGCAAGGGAGGATGTACTGCCAGAAACACCAATGGGGGGTAACACTAAACTCGGCTACGAATCCGTAACGAGCTTTGTCAGGCAACTCGGAGAAGTAGAAAAATGGAAAAAGTCTCATGAAAAGGCATGAATTACTGATTCAGCAGGAAGAAAACTGCTGAAACAATCCTACTCCTGCATGCTTCAGTCAGGATTACCACCAGAGAAAATATTAAATAAGCATCAAGGAGCTCTGTGGAGGAAGCTTGCAGAAA